TTGGAAATCATAGATAATTTTTCACTAGTAGATATTTTTAGAGAACAAAATGAAGACTTAAGAAGATACACATGGAGGAAAAGTAGCCCACTTAAACAAGCTCGCTTAGACTTTTTTTTAATATCTGAAAACTTTATTTCTAGTACTGAAAAATCCAAAATAGAATTTGGTTATAGATCTGACCATTCTTTCCCTACAATATCTTTGAAACTTAATGAATTTATACCTGGTAAAGGAGTATGGAAATTCAAAAATAGTCTCTTACAGGAACTAGAGTACTTAAATATGGTTAAAACTTGTATCAGTGAGACAAAAGCGCAATACTGTCCTCCAGTTTATAATTTAAATAATTTAAATAACATTTCAGATGCTGTGATTGAGTTTATGATAGACGATTAATTATTTCTGGAAACATTACTTTTTCAAATTAGAGGTAAAAGTATATCTTATTCATCCTTTAGGAAAAAACAACAAAATGTTAGGGAAGACAATCTTAAGAAGACAATTCAGGCAATTGAAGAACAAGATGAAATAGATATTGTTGATTTAGAAGTAAAAAAAAAAAGAATTAAAGGAAATTAGGGAACATAAAATTAAAGGTAGTATAGTGAGATCTCGTACTAAATGGATAGAAGGGGGGAGAAGCCTACAAGCTATTTTTTCAGTCTGGAAAGTAGAATTTTTACCTCTAAAGTTATACCTAAATCACAATTAGATAATGGAAAAACAATTACAAGTCAGGCAGACATCTTGAAAGAAGTTCAGAAATTTTATGAAAAGCTGTATGATTCTGATAATAACATAGCAGATGTAAATTTAAATGAATTTTTGGAACATTATAATGTGATTAAAATTAGTAAAAATGATTCTGAAAAGTTGGATGGCCTAATCTCATTGGAAGAAGCTGGCAAAACGTTAAGACGTATAAAAAATGATAAAAGTCCAGGCATAGATGGCTTTACGGTTGAATTTTATAAGTGTTTTTGGAAATATTTAGGTAACTTTGTTGTTCGATCTATAAATTTAGGCTATAAAAAAGGAAATCTATCAATCTCACAACGTCAAGGAATTATTACATGCATTCCAAAGGGGGATAAACCTCGACATTTTATAAAAAAATTGGAGGCCTATCACACTACTAAATGTTGTTTATAAAATAGCTTCTAGTACAATAGCATACAAAATTAAAACAGTTTTGGATAAAACAATTGAAAAAGATCAGACAGGGTTTTTAGAGGGTCGTTATATAGGGGAAAACACTAGACTGATATATGATGTAATGCAATATGCAGAGGAAAATGATATTCCAGGTATGTTTCTAATGATTGATTTCGAAAAAGCTTTTGATTCGGTGTCCTGGGCATTTATTGAGAAAGTTTTATGTTTTTTTGGTTTTGGAAATAGTATAATAAACTGGGTTAAAACATTACATAATAATGCTAGTGCTGTAATTAAACAGGGAGGGAATCTGTCTTCATTTTTTCAAGTTAAAAGGGGATGTCGTCAAGAGGACCCGATTGCTCCTTATATATTTATTCTGTGTGCTGAAATTTTAGCTATAAAACTAAGAAACAATAATAAAATTAAGGGTATTAATGTTGATTAATGTCCTATACTTCTATCACAATATGCGGATGACACTGCACTTGCACTTGATAGTACAGAAAGATCACTGCAGGAAGCTATTACTGAACTTAATTTCTATGCAAGTATATCAGGATTGAAAATGAATATTTCAAAAACTCAAGTGGTCTGGATTGGCAATAAAAAATTTAGCTCAGATAAATTCCTTCCAGAACTCGACTTACAATGGGGTAGGGAAAACTTCACACTTCTTGGCATTGAATTTCACGTTAATTTACATGAGATACCTAAACTGAACTTTGATAAAAATCTAACAAAACTTAAATCACTTATCAGATCATGGAAAAGGAGAATATTAACACCAATTGGTAAAATAAACATAATAAAATCAATTTTGGTTTCACAATTTAATCATTTATTTATCTCGCTGCCAAATCCAGAGGAAAAGTTTCTTTGTAAACTGAATTCTATAATTTATGAGTTCTTGTGGAACAGTAAAGTGGATAAAGTAAAGAGAGAAGTTGTTATTCAAGACTTCATTAATGGTGGGTTAAACATGATCAACATCAAAACTTTTATAGACTCACTCAAATTAGGTTGGATTAGAAGAATATTTCAATGTACATCTAAATGGCAAGCAATTTTAAAAACATATGTTAATATAGACATGTTGGCAAATTGTGGTTCAGATTATATAAAGCTATGTGAAAAAAAATGTAAAAACAAGTTCTGGACTGATGTTTTGAAAGCTTGTAAAAACTTGTATCATGCAAATGAAATTAATATTAACAAAAATGAGGTATACTTGAAGACCCCCTTATGGTATAATGACAAAATTATTATTGATAGAAGGTCAATTTTCATTAAGGATTGGTATAAAAAAGGAGTTATTAATATAAATGACCTGATTAAAGACTATAATTCTGGTTCCTTTTATACAGTTCAAGAATTCACTCAAACTTATCAAATACAGACTAATTTTCTCCAATATCACAGTGTTCTTTCTGCAGTAAAACATTTCAACTCTAATCCAGATTTTCCTAAATTAAGACTGTTATGTCCTTTTATTCCTACACACTTAGAACCATTCTTTAAAAAGTCTAAAGGTTCCAAACATTTTTATAGTATCCTGGTAAAAAATAACATTGTTCCATCAGGACAGAAGAAATGGAATAGAGTCTTTGATTTTAGTAACTTTTCTTGGCATCAGATTTTTAAGCTTCCCTTTGCTATAACTACTAATACAAAATTTCAGTGGTTTCAGTATAGAATAAATCACCATATTCTGACAACAAATTCTTTCCTTTTTAAAACTCGAATAGTTGTATCTCCTATGTGTACACTTTGCAATTCTGAGATTGAAACTATTACCCATATTTTATGGGAATGTCAAGAGACTCAGAATCTTCTTATTAGTTTTGAAACTCTTTTGGATGCACTCATTATTCCTTTTGATTTTAATAAAGAATCTTATTTATTTGGATTTCTTACACAAAATGTTAATGGTAGAATTGATAATGAGATACTCATTATAATTAAACAATATGTATATAAAATGCGTTGTCTTCATAGCTCCTTAAATATAAATGCATTGGTTAACACAATAAAAGACTACCATAATATACAAAGATTTATAGCAAATAGCAAAGGAGAAACTTATAGAGAGAAGTTTGAAAAGGAATGGAAAAAATGGGAAAAACTTCTTGTTTTGTAAAAATAATATTCTGATAGCTGTCTCCTGGGCTTTGGAAATGAATTATAAAATCAATAATTTTCTTCTATTACACTTATCCATACATTCATAAGCTTGAGCTCAAAAATATAATAGTCCATCCCCACCCTCTCTCTCTCTCTCTCTCTCTCTCTCGCTCTCTCTATTCTCTCTCTCTCTCTCTGAACTGATTCATGTAATTTTAGTTTACAGTTTTTAGTAGCTTTTCATTTTTTTTTGCATTTCTATGATTCTATGATTCCTTACTTGTTTGTGTTTGTATGTAAGAGTGTGTGTATGGGTGGGTGTGAGTAAGGGCGATTATGTATGTGTTAATGTTGTGATGCAACTTATAATATATGAAATCATTTCATCATACATGAATGGAGGATGATGATGTTGATGATGTTGATAATGAATGATGATGATGATGATGGATGTTGATGATGATGATGATGCTGATGATGAATGATGATGATGGAGGTAATAACATCAAAATGTATGTTAGATGATGGTGATGACGATGATGATGATGTTGATGATGTTGATGATGAATGATGATGATGAGGATGGATGTTGATGATGATGATGATGATGATTATGATGATGATGTTGATGATGATGATGATGTTGATAATAAATGATGATGATGAGGATGGATGTTGATGATGATGATGATGCTGATGATGAATGATGATAATGATGATGATGGAGGTAATAACATCAAAATGTATGTGAGATGATGGTGATGATGATGATGATGATGATGATGATGTTGATGATGTTGAATGATGATGATGATGGAGGTAATAACATCACAATGTATGTGAGATGATGATGATGATGATGATGATGATGATGATGATGATGATGATGATGATGATGATGATGATGATGATGATGATGATGATGAAGGTTATAACATCACAATGTATGTGAGATGATGATGATGTTGATGATGTTGATAATGAATGATGATGATGATGATGGATGTTGATGATGATGATGATGCTGATGATGATGATGGAGGTAATAACATCAANATATGAGGTAAGAAAGATGATGATGATGATGATGATGATGATGATGATGATGATGATTGAGGTAATGGCATCACAATGTTGGTGAGTGAGTGGACGTTTATGTTGTTGTTGTTTTATATATCAATAAAACTTGTGAAAAAAAATAAAAAAAAATAAAAAAAAAGAAATAGAATCCACCCTGATATGAGGTAAGAATGATGATGATGATGATGATGATGATGATGATGATGATGATGATTGAGGTAATGGCATCACAATGTTGGTGAGTGAGTGGACGTTTATGTTGTTGTTGTTTTATATATCAATAAAACTTGTGAAAAAAATAAAAAAATAAAAAAAAAGAAATAGAATCCACCCTGATATGAGGTAAGATTAGGTTATTCAAAACCTCGGGATAAAATATTGAGCAAAAAAACCTAAGCAAAGCCTCGGGTCTCCTGCTCAATATTGTATCCCTTGGGTTTTGAATTACCTTATCCATACCTCACATCAGGGATGGATTCTATACTTCTCTTATCATGAACAGGTGTATCCGCACTTTTGGCGGTGTGAGATTTCATTGTCTTATCCTAGGGTTGAGACGGGGGTTTTCCCCTATTCAGAACAATGGTATGACGTCACTTCAATAATACCATGACGCCACGTCAACAATTCATCAACGTCACGTCAACCCTGAATTTAGCCTGTGACGTTAACATTACATTTTGTATATGATACGCAATGGGTGAACACTGAACAGGGTAAGAAAAAAAGAATCATTCACCCCTTTGTGGGTGAAATAGGTGAATCTCAACCCTCGGGAAAAGGATCTTAAGTTGCCAAACACTCGGCAAAGCCTCGTGCTTGTTAATTTAAGAATATTTCCCCTCGGGGGTGAGAGATTATATTAGTCCCATGTAGACACTCGTGTGAGATAACTGTCCTACAAAATGCACTCGGTAACTCGAGTTCAGGAACTACATGTTCAACAAAAATTGTAATCATGTCTTTGAAAATTATAAAAGCAAAGTTTGGGTTCAAAATGTTTAATAACATATCGGTTGAAAATGAATTGTGACGTCATTAATTTTTCATTTTGGTCAGTTGATGGATGTGTACAGCTTTAACACTGTCGGCAACTGACATCAGATTAGTTCGTGGAAATGAACAATTATATGTATAAACCAAGCTTGCTTGAAAAGTGTTGCCTACTGCTTTGAATTTAACCTACATGTATTTCTTGATATATTTATTTGTCCTTGCTCTTTGTACATAGCGGTCTATATTCATGGTTGAATTGTTCGCTATCAAATCGCGGGAAACCTGAAACGGAATAGAAAGGAGGCAATCATTTTGTAGGATATGAAACTCTACTTTTGGATGTGTAAGGTGGGCTCAGAATCAACGCAAGCCACGGTTCTGAACCTAATTCTTTAAGTTCTTTTCCCCATATCCGTAAAACCATTGTATGAGTGACAGACGCTGCAGAAGACATGGCGTTCTTATTGGAAATCTTGTATACGATAAAAATACCATGTTTTGAAGTATTCACGAAACTTAATGAACTATGTATGAGCTTTTTTCCAACGCATTGGAATATGTGGGAATTCCTTGAACTAGTTAACGTATCTTCGTAACGACTTTTCAAAGGAAACACATTTCTTTGTTCTTAGATTATGATAGCCGATTTGCACAGTAAAGTACCTGTTGGTTATAATGTTATCGGTGTAATCTATAAATGGTAGATAGGTAGTTTAAGGGAGATTATATCTCATCATTTACTGGTTACCTTCCTTTGCTTTGTGGACTAATTACCTTCTACATATTTTCTTCATCGCAAACTCTCCATAATTGTAATGCATTGAAGCATATATGGAGAGGGCATATACATGCTTTGCCTATTGGCTACCTGTTTCTTTTATCTAATGTATCAATATAACAATAACACGTCATTGTTCCTCGTTATAGATAATTTCCAATTAAGATTCGCCGGGTATCAACTCTACTTGGTAAGTAGGTAGTTAAAGGGAGATTATACACTATCATTGGCTTGTTACCTTACTTGCTTTGTGGACTTACTACATTATATGCATTTACTTCTAATATTGCAAACTCAACATGATAGTAATGTATAATCATGTTTTGCCTTTTGGCTTTCTTTTTCTTTTATTCATTGCATCAATATAACAATAACACATCATTGTTCTTCGTTATAGATAAATTCCAAAAACGTTTCGCCGGGTATCAGCTCTACTTGTCTAACACCACCGAGAGCCCTACACAAGGTGTCCTTTGTTTTGAGGACAAGAGTGCTACCGAAGCTCAGGTACAGTTGTTGGTGACACATCAGTGCCCGTATGTAGCTCGGTACGTGACCGTCTACAACTATAGAAACAACCCCAAACGGTACAGTTGGTATGATGATTATGCCGTTATCGAGTTATGTGAGGTGCAGGTATTTGGTGAGTATTTTACCTTTGATAATTCATGTATCTTGAGTTATCATGTCTCATATTTCTAATTGTTTAATTACATTTCAATACGACAAAAGGCAGCGGACTACCTACATGTATACCTGTGAAAATAAACCAATATACCCTCATGTCTAAATAAATTAAATAAGCAAATGTTTACATGTATCATGGGCATTGATATTTTATCTAATTTTCTATAGTAATGATAATAAACTGACATCAGTTATTATCACACCTGACAATGATTGCATGAATAATAGAACCAAATCATCTCTCAGGAACTTCATTGTTAAACTTGAAATATATTCTGGTCCAAATGTAATTTTAACAAATAGGTTCTGATCCAAACGAAGAAAGAACACAACAAAGACATATGTAGTCGAAAGATATTCCATATATATATCCAAACATTGTAATCAGTACTGTTATGTTCCATTTAAAAGATATTTACAAAAAAAAATATATACTTTCTAGACCTTTCGCTCGCTTGTTTACCGACCCTCTAATATTCAGCATATTATGATATACAGTGTCCAAACTGCAAAACAACTAAGGCTATATGAAATATTGTAACATGTATACGATTTAGATTGTTGGGCCAACCGATACTTGAAGTATATGCGATGTTTATTTGGGTTAATATCATACCTGACTCTGGACATTTATAAGATCTAGATTGTTGGGCCAACCGATAATTGAAGTATATGTGATGTTTATCTGGGGTCTTACCCAGATACAAAATTTTCATTCTTATTCAGTGTAGATGTTATTGATGTTCTAAAATCTAACGAAATTATTTGTGTATTTTCATTGTGTCATTCGAACAGGATGTCAAGTAGGGCAGTACGGTAATGGTGACTGTAACAGCCAGTGCTCCGGAAACTGTTATGGTGGTAACTGTAACTCCACAACCGGTTCCTGCTTTTGTAAGTTTCTAGTACACACACACATTAAAACAGCACTGAACCTATCTTAATAACATCATCGAACAATAATTGAAAAATCAAAACTACGTAATGTTGTAAGAAGTACAATGTACTAACAATTGCTTAGTTAACATGTCACAAATGATTCGTGAACAAAAAAAATCTTCTGAAAGAAATCTATACATATGCGTCCTGTGGACCTATAAACTAAATAGCACGATATTCGACCTTGAAGGCTTCACTCTATGTGAGAGATTATGCATGATTAAGTGAAGATACGTTTTTACTATTTTAAGTTGGACCCTACATGGAGCTTCTTTGACCATAACCGATAAATATCGAAGCCTGACTATGTTTCTAGATACGTCTAAAGATAACATAACCCACTTTTTCTTTTATATTGCTCGTTCTGTTTTATTGGTCGCACACTGACAATACAATTTAGGAAAATAAAGTCTGCGGACTGCCTGTCCTGGTAGGTTGGCCGGGGGCTACCTGCTACATAAGATGTAAACTATTTTTGGATTTGAAAGTATGTCCACATTTGTTAATAGCTTTGATGAAAACAGTTCGTCTCATTGCTCGTTTCATCAGATAGATTGTAGAGCGTCGGTCGTCCGTCCGTCCGTCCGCGTCAACGTTTTACTTGAAACAACTTACTCTCCATAACCAAGAGGCCTAGGGTGATTTTGCCGGTAGCATGCGGGGATGACGGACTACCAAGTTTGTTTAAATGAATGACCTTTGGCCATTTTCAATGTCACAGGGGTCAAATATGTTAAAATATTTTCACAACTTCTTCTGAATAACCAGAAGGCACAGGATAAGAATGTTTTGCTGATAACATGCTGGTTTGAAGGGCTACCAAGTTTGTTCAAAGCAATGACCGTGACTTATATTAAAGGTCACATTGGTCAATTATCTTTGAAAATATTTAAACTTTTTTTTTTAATAACCAAAAGGCCAAGGGTAAGGATATTAGGCCAGTAACATGCTGACATGAAGGGTCACCTAATTTGTTAAACATTCAAAGGACATCTTTTGAATAACGATAAGTCCCAGAATGTTGATATATCGCCAGTACCATGCTTGAATGGTCACAGGGTTCAGTTATCTTTAGCATGTTTTCAAACGACTTCTTATAATTAACCAAAAGGCCAAGGGTGATGATGTTTGGGCAGTGACATAATGGCAAAAAGGTATACCAACTTTGTTCAAAGGAATGACCCTGACCTATATTCAAGGTCACAGGGGTAAAATATGTAGACAAAACTATAAAACATTTCTTCTGAATAACTATAAAGGCTCAGTGTGATGTAATTGATGTTATTTGGCAGGTAATATGATTGGATGAAGGGCTACTTGTTTTATTCAAATACATGAACTTGACTTATATTCCAGGTCACAGTGGTCAAATATATTTTAAACCTTTAATCGACATCTTCTAAATAATTTTAAGGACTAGAATGTTGGTATTTGGCCAGTATCATGCTTTGATGGAGGACTACAATGTCTTAAAAATAAAATAACCTTGATCTATATGTCAATGTCATAGGGGTCAAATGTGTTTTAAACCTTTAAATATCTTCTTCTTAATAACCAAATGCTAAAAATGTTGATGTTTGGAAAGTAATATGATTGGATGAAGGGCTATTAAGATTTGTTAATTTCAATCAACTTGACCCACTTTCAAAGTTACAGGGGTTAAATGTGTTTAAATCTTTGAAAAGATTCTTTTTAATGATTTATAGTCATAAATACTGAAAGTTTGCATGTAACTTTATTTTTAAGGTTACAGATTTGAGATTAATACCAGCTGATAGACGCAGGCCCATAGAGGTTCTTGTTTAGAAGAGGGGATTACGTTCTTAACACAACAATAATTAAAATCACAGTTAACATAGTTAGGCTCTGGTAACATGAACATTCTTTTCATTTCAGACTGTTTTCCAGGAAAGTATGGCGATTACTGTAACAACGATTGCTCCACGAAGTGTACAGACATTACTTGTGAGAAGGACACCGGATATTGTTCTGGTAGGAATAATATATACATACGTTGTATATAATAAGTTGTATTAAGTTAAAAGCATTTAATATGAAATGAGGTAATATATGTTTTATAAGTATAAAAGACAGACACAATGTACGAACAAAGAGGATTACGCATATCATTAACATGCATATGCATGTACTTACTCCTAATGACACTATGATCGCTAGTAACTAACTGACTGACCATTCAGCTGTATAGTGTATCAGTATAAATCATTAAACTTTTATTTTACTTTGATTATATGTATATGGCCCGGGTGATTGCATGAATAATAGAACCAAATCCTCTCTCAGGAACTTCATTGTTAAACTTGAAATATATTCTGGTCCAAATGTTATTTTAACAAATAAGTTCTGATCCAAACGAAGAAAGAACACAAGAAAGACATACGTAGTCGAAAGATATTCCATATATATATCCAAACATTGTAATCAGTACTGTTATATTCCATTTGAAAGATATCTAAAAAAATATATATATATACTTTCTAGACCTTTCGCTCGCTTGTTTACCGACCCTCTAATATTCAGCATATTATGATATACAGTGTCCAAACTGCAAAACAACTAAGGCTATATGAAATATTGTAACATCTTGCAAGAAATTGTTCCCTTGCTCAAGCATGGCTTTTGTGTTCAAATACGTTTAATTGGCTTGAATATGTTACAAGGTTAAATAGTTTGGTGTTAACAATTATTCACCACTGAAAAAAGGCTTAGGTATCGAACTTGCGATCTCCGGAAACTGATTGAAATCGTAAAATATCCGCATTTACACCGTCGTGGCCCACTCTTAATAAAATGTCTGATGTGGCAATGGTCAACAGCACGAATATCCCGACATGACTACAGCACGAATAATTGCGATTTGATGAGATGAATACCTTGTTTGCAGTGTAAACGAATTACCAATTCTTTTTCTATAAGACACAATTACGACAGGTAGTTTATACCGTAATCTATTTTCATCAAAACCATGATATATTGTATAACAAGCTCTAGTGTTGTTAAAATATCTTTTTCATTCAGATTGTTTTTTATGGAAAGTAAGATGGTTACTGTAGCAACGATTGCTCCATAAATTGTTAAGACAGCATTTGAGAGAAGGTCACAGGATATTGTTCTGGTATGACCAATATACATGTATAAGGCCGAACTGCATTAGGGTCGAATGCATTCATATGGAATGAGGAATCATATATGTGTTTATGTACAATATATTTTTATATGAGTTCAATTTACGAACAAAGAGGGATATACATCTGTATGTTGGGGATATACATGTACATAAGTATGTGGATATACATATGTATTTGTTCTATAGATACACCATTCAAATACATAAGTACCAACTTGTCAAGACTATGTTAGATAGGGAAAAATGGGACGGAGTGGGGTATATCTACATGTGAACAGACATCTGACAATGTTTTGGTAGTTATAACCTCTCTGTGTACATAAAGTTATTGTTTTTGTGTTGAACTCGCTAAATTGTTACGTGAGACTCTTCAACTCACCTGGTTAATTATTTTTCTTTTGGGAAAGTATTCCTGGTAAACAAAAGGTGACATGTGAAGTACCAACTGTTCTTCGAATTGTATAACATGTGAACAGACATCTGCACAATGGTTTGGTTAGTAAAACTTTACTGTGTAGTTTGAATGTCTATAGTAAACGCAACAAAATCTTAAGAAAAATTATGGGATAAAGTCATATTGTTTAATCAGAAAAATCTTAAACGTTCCATCTAGGAAATCAAAACAAGCATTTTGAAACCACACAATTATAGCAATTTCACGTTCATAAAAGGAGAATGAAGTAAGTGACAATAGAATCACAAGGCAAAATAATGAGCTTACTATGGTGTGTTCGTGATTGCTATGGACCACAAATATAAATACAACGAATATTTTTACAACTCGAAAGAATATACACAACAAAAATGTGAAAATGTATTTCAATCAAAAATGTACGTGTATAATATGATCATGTAACAAAAACGAAGAATCGTATGCAAAAGAATTTAATACTGAAAATGTTGTTGATTCTTCTTATGTATAGATTGAAAGAACTTCAGTCTACCACATCTAAGAAAAGTTTCATCGCATTCAGGGTTACATACAAATCGATCGGTAACTCCAAGCCGGCAGAAACCACAAAGTCTGTTTTGCATTTTGTTGAACGGGGTATACACAAAAGTGTGCACACACGATATAATTTGAAAGTTCCAAACAACTAATGGAAGTACGCACGAATATTTCATGTTATACAGTAGTTTTTTCTCAATTTGTAACGCTTAATTTTAAACTCGTGATAATCGAAGCAAGTTATTAAATTCTGATTTAGTGCGACACGTTAACACTATGTGGAAGAAGGTAGTATGTTATAAAGAAACAACTTTGAAGGAAATAGGTTCAAGAATGAACATAAAATTGTCGTGTTCATCTGACTCGCTGAGTGGTATTATACGGCTATTCCAATGAATTATCTGATCATAGAATGCAAGAAAAGCTTCGATAATGCCTTGGTTGAGGAACTAGCAGAAACCAGTGTTCAAAATGTATTTATAAGGATTCTTTTGAAGTTTCGGAACCAATTACACACAAGGCAGGTCACTATTATCATCGTTTATTGTAGTCAGAAGGATTATAATGCAGACAAAATATATGTAGCTAGTATTATGTCGTTCAAAACAATGGACATACATGAGTTTAGTTAATTGGTTATAAGCAAGTTTAGTTTCCTTTGCGAAAAACGTGTATGTAAAAGAACTTATGACATTGATAATTGTTCATGAAATGTTTTGTCTGTCGACACAACCATGTTCTTGTGGTGTTTGATTCAGACACAAAAACTATATACTTGTGTTTGGCTTTGGGTATGGATATCAAGACACAATATTAAGTTTAACTTATAGACCTCATAGATTTGACCCACTTTGATTTTTTTTATCCAAACCATCATTAATTTTTTGTCTTCTTTTGAAGCCATCATTGTATTAGAATTCATGTGCGAATTGATGCTTGATGTTTCTCGATACGTTCGACTTTTCATGAATAGCACGATTTACATTTAAAATAATATTTGCGTGCACAGGTGGTCTATATTTGTATGGAGATACAGAGCATGCTGAAGGCGGAATTATTCTTTGGTCATCTAAATCCAGCTGTTGTACAATTTTCTTGGATTTACTAGGACAGAAACAGTGAATTCAGAATAACTAAAAGAAATAATGTTTAAAGTAAAAGATGCCGTGCCAGCTGTTCCAATAGTGAAGGTAGATTAATTAAAAAAAACACTTATGTGTTAGTAGTTTAGTCACGGATGTCCATTCGTTGATTGAATACCTGGTTTATAAAGAATCTTTCTAATCTATTATTTATTGCATAAATCCCCCCTGTTTATGTAAATGCATACCTTCACTTCTAACTCGAACAGCAACCACAGTAATGGACGCACAGCATCTAGTTTCAAGTATCTATGATTGTTTTTTAACTCTGAATTTACTTTCAAAAAGTAGCTAGGATAGAATGCAAATGTCAATGAAGAGGTGTACGTCCTTTATCGTTTATATAAGAAATATTAGCAGCGTATTCAAGACAGAGCGTTAACACATAAACTCCTTTCTCATATTGAAGGGAATTTGCAATGGATCGCAAACACTTTCAGTATGTGATCCGTGTTTTTATGGGAGTAACTGTAACCAGAAATGTTTCGGAAACTGTAAAGACAAAACTTGTGTACAAGGGAGTAAGTTGTGCAGAAGTATTATTTGTTGATATTTTTTATCATTATATACATTTTTTATCAGGTTTAAAGTAACCGTAACTATAATTTAATGACAATTATCATATCATTGTAATCAAAAAAGAACCCCGAATGTTTCAGATGATAAAAAGTAAAGTGAGTGTATATTTGAATGACGTATTGTGAAACCGGTTTGATGTATTTCATGGAGCTATTGTGCATTCTGCTGGAAACAAATTATAGAAATAAGCAATTAAACAGTAAACATGTCATGAACACATTATTTTTGAAATATCATAGAGAGCAACCCCTGTTCCACTGGCTGTGCCAATCCCACCTGCAACAAATCATTTGGAAATTGTAGTCGTACGTATGCTATGATTCCGGATATTTTTAACTTTTTTTTGTGTTATTTTGTGTTACAATCTGTAGTAACTATTTCAATCTGGTACTGGCATTTTCCCTTGAACATATACACAATATAATAATAATACTGTGTGTATTTGAATCAAATTGATAACTCGCATGATAATGACAATACTATGTTTTCAACAAGCTAGTGACAAAATAGCCGGATACGTTCTTACAACGCATCATTTTTGTTTAAGGATGTAATGCAGGATTCCGTGGCAACAAGTGTGATCAGAGTTGTCCTGCTAACTGTGAAGACCAACTGTGTATACAGAACTCTGGAGACTGTACAGGTACATGTAAAACAAATATTTGTTCAATTTTTTTTCACATTTTACGCTGTTCTACTACCTTGACTTATAAATTGTTTATATCTGCTAAGCCTGATGGAGTGTCACGCATTATTATTCATTCTCGTGTAACAGCAGTCATGTGGTTTCTACCGTATTCCATGCAACTTTTTACAGTTTTCATTGTGATTTAGTGATATTTTTCTTCAATGTATATGCATAGATCACTATGAAATAGTTCGGACGAAGTTTACTGCACAAATTAATATATTCTTCCCTCCAGTTTTAATCATGAAACATATATTACAAGGGGGTTGCTCGGAAATGTCAATACCTGCGAGTACCGTCAATGTAGACTTAGACCGTTCTTGCAATGTTTGAATTTGCCTCATTATTTAGAATGATATCGCACGTGTTTTCACATTTTGGTCTTTATACAGATTCCCAATTAAAAAATATGTGTGTTTAAGGTACACTTGGACCCAAATAATTTCAAAAAACACATAAGAATTAAAATATATTAATACACCAACCCACAACATATCTTGGTCTTTACGGAATGGTTCTTCACTGACAACGTATATTTGAATATCTTCATTTTATATTGAAATATCTAGATAGCTATCGACATCATAAGTTGTAGATTCTACATAGTTTATTTTAGTACGTACACTTTTAGTGTTGAAATGCATTAGATTCAGGGAGTGATAAGCGGGCGTATCTGTTGAGTTTGGACCAGAGTTGGGATGTATATCTCCAGGTAAAAGTAAATGAAGTGTGGAGTACTTAATATTTATTTTATGGATATAAGGAAAACACGTAAGTGTAATTTTGAAGTAATAACTAGCAAGAACCTTTAATAATTTCAATGAAAAAAGACCTATGAAGCCCTCCACGAATCAACATTATTATCCATCATGGCGGATCAAAAACATACATATTTACAAATTAGAGAGAAACTTCCACAAGTTGAGCACGCTATAAATGGGCAGTACATATGTATGATTTGGGAGATGTAAAATTCAATGAAGATAGAGGACATAGGAAATCATAATAACGATCATAGAAGGGAGGGTGAAACAATGGTCACAAGTATGTGGTGATTATATAGCATAGATTACAAAAATGTTACTTAAGGATCATGCATGTATAAAAGATATATTAGCGCACACATTTATGCATACATACATACAGATTGTACACATGTATATAATTATTACATACGAAATATTAGCACACACATGCATACATACACACAATGTATATACACGCACGTATATATATGTACGCACACATATATATGTAGACATATGCATGAAAAGAACCATTACACACCAGCATACACATGTACATATGCAAACATAAATGTATAGAAATAAGCAATAATGCATACATCCTAATATACACATACACACACAGGTAGTTGATTAATCTATACAAATTGATTAACACATGTATGTAGCTAGATAGGGCGCTATATCAAATGTTGTATAATTTTGTATTTATGTATGGGTCAAAGAAGTAATATAGATGGTAAAATCCCATACAACACTTGATCCTAATAGAGGTATGTCCGTAGGATACGAATTACTTAAAATATTATATGGGGCAAAGAAGTAAATCCAACAGTGTGGACAAGTTTAGGTTGTCAATTTTTCGGAGCGATCCGCTCCTTTTTCAAGACACAGTGAAACAGAACAGTTACATGTACATATACATCATATTACAAGAAGATATAACTGATATACTATAATTGAAAATATCGCTATTATATAAAACCAATAGTCCCCTCGGCTAAAGACAGCCGAAGGCAGCAATTAGGCTGAGAGTATCGCGGACAAGGAACGATGATTTAGAGGACCTATTCTTGCGCAAGATACACTATCACATAAAGTGAGTCAACGAGAGATATCAAAAACGTGATAAATGTGAAAAATCTCAATTTGCTACACTGAGTCGCCTCGTTTGGTTTGCATGAATAATGCATGTGCCTCTTTTGGTTTGCAGGAATAATGCATGTAATTATCAAATAAGTGAGTGCAGGAGGAATAAGTAGAAGAAATGGCTAAGATATTGTATAAATCTGCAAAATTAATCTGACAACGGCTGTTGGTCACATACACTGACATGAAGCAGCAGGCAGGCGAGATAGCAGACCAACTGTGCAGTAATGCATCATTAGGTCAAATGCCCCTGAAAGGAAAACGAGCGGATGGCAACCGCCTAACGTTCGTTCATACCTCGAGGGTAGCGGGTTTGTAGATTGGTGATCTAAAACCGTTCTCTAGTGCGTCGTCTCGTTTCATCCCATGTAGGGCAATGATCTATGACAACAACCTGCATGTCTTTCCAACTTTGGCAAGGCATATTCAAATGCCTAGCCACAGGGAAGTCTGGTCTGCTGCTTCATGTCAGTGTATGTGACCAACAGCCGTTGTCAGATTAATTTTGCAGATTTATACAGTATCTTAGCCATTTCATCTACTTATTCCTCCTGCACTGACTTATTTGATAATTACATGCATTATTCCTGCAAACCAAAAGAGGCACATGCATTATTCCTGCAAACCAAAAGAGGCGACTAAGTGTGGACACCCTGCTGTGACTGTTAGATCCATCGCAGAATTGAGAGGCGACTAATGAGACATTCTGTAGCAGATTGAGATTTTTCACATTTACCGGGCCAGATTTCCACATGCACATGTTCCACGTTTGTGGTATCTCTCGTTGACTCACTTTATGTGATAATGCATCTTGCGCAAGAATAGGTCCTCTACATAAGCGTTCCTTGTCCGAATTGCTCTCAGCTTAATTGCTGCCTTCGGCTGTCTTTAGCCGAGGGGACTATTGGTTTTATATAATAGCGATATTTTCAATTATAGTATATCAGTTATATCTTCTTGTAGTATGATGTATATGTACATGTAACTGTTCTGTTTCACCGTGTCTTGAAAAAGGAGCGGATCGCTCCGAAAAATTGACAACCTAAACCTGTCCACACTGTTGGAATTACTTTTTTGCCCCATATTTATTTATGTGCATACATACGCACAGGTATCTAGGTAAACAATACAAATGAATGACATATATTCATACACACATACAAACACACATGGATACATGTATAAATAATCAATACACGTTACCGTACACACACAGACGTCATTTTGTAAAGACATACACAAATGCACACATACTTCCACACGTACAGAGGTGTATACATGTACCTACAAACACTGAAATATTACATGTTTTGTATGTATAATATGTCACATATGTGAGTACGCGATCGGTTTTATGTAATGAACACGATAAATACATCGAACAGTAATTAAAGTTGATCTAATTACATTTTATATCAATAATAATGTGGGCAATATGTCATATATACTGGACATAGAATAGTAAATCTCATAATAATCGAAGTGCATGAATATGCATTCACATAGTTTTAAGCGTATCATACGTTTTGTCAGTAACTGTAACGTATATAGGGGTAAGGTATACACAGTTTTGTTCTCGATATCAAATATAGCATTATCGTAATATGATATTGAATTATGATAACATCGTAAAACCATCTTTTTATGTTATCAAAATACATAATTAACAGTTGGCCCTGACTCACGGTATAAATCAGATGTTCAGATTTTAAATTCGAATTCAATACACATATCATGTTCACACAACACCATGCATAGCATTAAAAAAGTGCAACAAACGAAAGCCATAAGTAAGGAAAATTCAGCACATTCATTTTGTATTTCACATAATGTACATATAAACGGTGAAGCGGAGGGCAGGGGAAGGGGGACGGACACAATGACACGACTTTTGAGGATTACTACAAGGTATTGTTATAGACTGTATAAAGTACAGGTATGTGACAGATACAGTCATTGCTTGATTTGGATTGATCAAGGTATTTACTGTTCGAAATATATATATATGTATATAACGTGTTATAAATTCGTATGTTAGAATTAAAGACGGTTTGCTATGAATGTTTCTATAAGAAATGGTAGCATGTCGATTTCAGGAACAGACTTTAAAATCGTCATTACACGTGGATGGTTCCAGTTACACGATTGGGAAGATAAGGACGGTGATGTGGAAACATGGTTCCGCGATGAAGATGAGATCGTCTCCTCGGGTGGAGTTCTCGACATTAACTCCGACTTGAGACAGTTGACACAGACATTAGACGTTATAAGAACTTTGGGACATTTTCTATTTTTTTGGGACAAATATTCGACCGTCTATTGTCTAGTGGGTAGCAAGTTGGTCATCCCTCTATAATTTTCCAAGCTTGTTTACGATTTCTTGCCGATAGGGGGTCAAACACTCCGTTATATAAATTTTGTCCTCCTTGAAGTGTTTTTTCAGGAAGGATGTCGCTTTGAATACCCTTTTTCAGTCATTATATCGGAAAAACCGAGAGATGACAATGACTTTTTGGTCGTGTATCCTACTAATGGTGTGGTATCTGGACATATCATTTTTTACAAGGGGAAATGTAGCTTTGTACAAATGTCAATGACTGCTTGGTAAGTATCAAATTGGTCAAGTGGCTTATCTACCGGTACATTGTGAGATTTCAATCCACCCCTCGTGTATTATCGCTGCTCATTAAGATCAAACTGGAGACACTCAATAGTTCCTCTTAACAATAATATTTCAGATGCCTGATGTTTTAACTCATTTTGAACCATGACTTGATTTATGTGAGAGTCTATAGCGGATTAAATTAATTCGTTGTCTGTCAGGGCCGTTTCAACTTGCTTGTCGATTTCCGGTTTCAACTACACGGGTAACATTTCGGTCACACTATTGGCAAATTGTGGTGCTAACAACTCAGAGAAACGCGTTAGGAATTCAGGTGTAGTACCCAATAACGACGACGATGAGCCAGAAGGTTGGGACAACAATCCCGTGGGACAGGGCGAGAATGAAGGTGAATGAGCGATCTCGGATGGAGGTGGGGTGTATATGGAGGAACGTGTATTCAGGAGTCAAGGGACTACTCATAGTGTTCCACTTACTGTCAGGAAATACTGGACTCGAGTACAGACTGGACTTCTGTTGAGACATGTTTCAACACAGTAAACAAAACTGACTGGGTATTGACTATAAAGCAAACTGTCTATAAAAAGTACACCGACACGATGAACTCGAGAGTTCTCACCTGTATTTCACATCTGTACGATAATGTATGGCAAACAGACATTGTGAATTTTAACAAAAGTACCAATTGTATGGAATTGTCACTAGAAATAAGCACACAAATGTTCATCAGCTAAAGCCTGGTCTACTCACATTATTAAAAAACATTTTAACAAATAGCTATACTAGTGAAAACGTGCACCACACACTGTTTACCGTCTTCACTGATCGGCTATTTTTCTTCCGAATCAATCGTTGATTGTTAACAGACAATTGTGCAAACCAAACGTGTAATCCGAACACAGGCCAATGTACAGGTATGACAACGCTTACGAGGAGTTGGGGTGATACGTTTCTTTTTATCAACTTCAAACTTTTAGAATTATTCTCTAAATGATATAAGGTAACTAAAGTTTGCTTTATTTAATATTACATGTGTATGTTTATTACCAATAACCAAGATGAAATTAATATATATATATATAAAAGGTCATTTGTATGTTATAAAAACACCAATTTGTCTGTATTATACATTTATGCACAATTATATGGTTGACATTTATACAGTATCTTTATTCCTGGCATATATTACGACAAAGTTAGTTCTCTATATCAATCGTAAAGATGCATCCTTATATTCACTTTGAAAATATTGCCTGTTTCTGTAAAGAGACAATATCTTTTCACATCATTATGGGTGTTGGTATCACTTATTATCATAGCATATAAGTGACTATTTGTATAATGTAAGCCTCGTCTATTTGGTCATGACTGTACCCAGACCTGGTCAGTCGGCTGTCAGAACAAGTGTGACAGAAACACGGGAGAGTGTAATGGTATACATCTAGTTATGTTCTTAGTTTTATAACCATACGGTACCAGATATCATATTGGTAAAATACTGTGCATGCTGAAGGAGGACTTATTCTTAGGTCATCTAAATCAAGCTGTTGTAGGATTTTCTTATTGTTAAAAGGATGGAAACAATGAATTCAGAATAACTGTGAGAAATAATGTTTTGAATAAAAGAATCCATGCAAGCTATTCCGGTTGTGAAGGTAGATTAGTTTAATTGTAGTCAACTTATGTGGTATATAGTGTAGTCATTGATTGCCTTCACTATATTGGATTCCTAATTGATAAAGTATTTTTCTAATCTATTTTTATTTCATTATACCTCATTGCTCAAGTAAATGCAAATCTCGCCTTCTTACTTGCATACATTTTTGTGTAGTTACGGTTGTAATGAACTCCATGTATATCTTCAAGTGTCAATAGTAATGTTTTTTACTCTGAATTTACATGCAGGGAGTAGCTCCTGACAGATTGCAATTTGTGTATGAAGGAGTGTATCTCCTTAATCGTTTATATCATAAGTATTAGCCGTGTATTACAGACAGAGCGTTAACACATAAACTCGTTCCTCCCATTGAGGTGAATGCGCAGCGGATCGCCAAGATAGACAATTCCGTAAGTGTTGTATACTTTCAGCATGCGATCCGGGATTTTATGGGAGTAGCTGTAACCAGAAATGTTCTGGAAACTGTAAAGACAAAACTTGTGTACAAGGGAGTGGGTTATGCAAAGGTATTGTTTGTTGATATTTTTATAATTATTTACATTATTCTATCAAGTTTAAAGTAACCGTAGCTATAATAAAGTGATCATTATTAAATATCATTGTAAAAAATAATAAAAAAACCCGAATGATTCAGATGATGAAAGTAATGTACGTGCATATTTGAATGACGTATTGTGAATCATGTTTGGTTGTTTGATACATACCATGGAGCTAACATGCATTCAGCTTGGAACTTATTATAGAAATAAGCAATTAAACAGTTAATATGTCATGGACACATTATTTTTGAAATATCATAGAAATAAAAAGCAGATCTTATATGTTACGACAGACTGCGAAGACGGGTTTTTTGGTCCCGAATGCAACCCCTGTTCGACTGGCTGTGTCAATCCCACCTGCAACAAATCATTTGGAAATTGTAGTCGTACGTATTCTATGATTCCAGATACTTTGCACTTTATTGTGGTTTTTTTTTTGTTACAATCTGTAGTAACTATTTCAATCTGATATTGGCATTTTCCCTTGAACATATACACAATATAATGATAATACTGTGTGTATTTGAATCAAATTGGTAACTCTCATTAAAATGATTATGATATGTTTTAACAATTGACAAAATAACCGGAGACGTTCTTACAACGCATCAGTTTTTTTGAAGGATGTAATGCAGGATTCCATGGCAATAATTGTGATCAGAGTTGTCCTGCTAACTGTGAAGACCAACTGTGTATACAGAACTCTGGAGACTGTACAGGTACATGCAAAACAAATATTTGTTTATTTAATTTTGTTTACGTTTAATTTCATTCTACTCCATTGACTTATGAATTGTTTATTTCCTGAAAGGCTCTTGGAGAGTCACGCATTAATATTCCTACTCGTGTAACAGCAGTCATGTGGTTTATTCCGTATTCCATGCAACTTTTTACAGTTTTGATTTTGATTTAATGATAATTTCGTCATTGTTTATATATAGATATAATATGCAAAGAAGGGAATTGATCGCTACGTAATAGTTCGGACAAAGTTTCTAGCAAAAATTCATATCTTTCCCCTTCATTATTAGGTTTTATAATAAAAAGAAATACAACAAGTTGGATCACCTTTTCAATTATTCAGGATGTGATCCTGGTTATCACGGCAGTGATTGTTATCAGACATGTTCGGCCAATTGTGCTAACCAAACGTGTGATCAGAACACTGGCCAATGTACAGGTATGACAACTTTTACGAGGGTGATAGGTTTATTTTTTATCAATTTCAGACTCTTAGATGCTCTGAAATATATCAGCTAACTAAATTTAGCTACATCAATAATGCAATATGTATGTTTATTAACAACAAGCGTGAATGAATTGCATGTAATACAAGGAAACGGACATACAGTGGTTATAAGATAAACTGTAACCAATTTGTCTTTAGTATACTTCCATGCACGATTCTATGGTGTGAAATATACAGTATATTTACTCTTTGCGTATTTTACGACATAATTCAATCTCTATATCGATCGTAAAAAATCATCCTTATATTTGAAAATATTGCCTATTTCTTTAAACTTGCATCTTAAGTTTGTTTAATAGTTGGAAGAACTATTACTGATTAACATAGCATATAAGTGACTATTTGTAGAATGTAAGCCTGGTCTGTTTGGTCCTGACTGTACCCAGACCTGTCCAGTCGGTTGTCAGAACAAGTGTGACAGAAACACCGGAGAGTGTAATGGTATACATTTAGTTATGTTATTAGTTTTATAGCCATACGGTACCAGAAATCATATTGGCAATATAATGTAAATGAGTAATTGGCTCTTTTTTTTAATGTTTGGTCGAGAATCAAAATCGAAAAAAAAATATTATCTGTGGGGAAGTACAAAACAATGTTGAGTTGGGTGTGGGTGTGTGGTTATACTCATTTTTATTTGCATTTGAACATTATTTAAAAATCAGCAAATACATATTTACTTATACAAATCTGAAATAGATGATCAGCGGATACCTATACTGTTATGTAATTTCTAGTCAGTTTATACATAAACAAACCTATGATTGATATGATCGGCTGATTCTAGTATCAAGAACAGTTCATGCGTTAACGTTTTTCTTTTCTTTTGTAGCCTGTGAAGTTGGAAAATACGGATTAAAATGTGATCGTATTTGTTTAAGTCAATGCCACAACGGGAAATGCAAACAAATAGATGGCCACTGTGAAGGTTGGTGAAAGTAGGCACCAATTATAATTCTGCAAATCTTAAAAACACACGAGTAAGATAAAATTGTGTTAAGTTGTTTATGCTCCAGTTTTCTTTCCTGTTCTGTAGTAATACAAACATAATGCTGCAACTTAAGACATATACATAAAAGAATTTCTTTTTTAGTCACATCATACTTATTATGTCTTTTTCGGGAGCATTCCCTTTCTAGTTTAAAACACCCCCTACCTACGGTGTGTTCATATCGCAGTTGATTTGGTACTAAAGGGATTACTCCGAATATCATGAATTCCGTGAAAGTTGTTGATTGCTGACGGACAAGTCTCAAAACGAAATTTCCACAGATGCAGGTTGATGAAACTACATGTATGTACACTACACACGTTATTGTTGTGAGGACGTGACATTATTTAGATTTGACTTTGATTTGCATAGCATTTGTCGGTGATAAAGCAGAAGACGATTTTGAGTTCGAATTATAGTTTTGTTGACGCTTCGGTATTCACTTTAACTTTTTTTTTTAATCAGCAGTGCAATCAGTAGATATTTAATTTAAAATAAAAGTACTAGAATTGAAGTTTATTAGGTGGCATTACCACAACTCTATTTTCTTCATTACAGAATGTATCCAAGGATTTCATGGCGACGACTGTTCTAAGACGTGCCAAGACAACTGTAAAAACAAGACTTGTCTTCAGGAGAATGGGCACTGTTCAGGTACTGTCAAGAATTACATAAACTATAAAGAACTCCGTTTTGATCTAGGGACCATTGTGATAATATATAACACCTGATTACATGTTATCTTTAAATGTTGAAAAGGTTAATTGTATTTGGCTTCAATCATCTATTGGTCAACATTTGAAATATAACAACATTGAACTAAAAACTGACTGTTACCTACCGATCATTTAAGTTTCCACAGAGAAATATGGTTCATTTAAGTGAAATTCAATTCCCTCCTACTAACAACCTATAATACACATTAATATTTTTCTAACCCACATCTGGTATATCGTTGTTGTTTTCTGGTTTTGAGATATCCTTGTAATACACTAAGGTTAAACAAGAGATTCCCAGTTGAAGTATTTGTATGAAGTAATATCAACAATGCATTTAGGTAACAACAACATTGCAAATATGATAAGGCCAAGGTTATGAAGTTGTCAAGCACAAAGATGCCCCTGGGTTTGGGATCCCCTGATTGTGTCACAGTATGGGTTGCAGATTATGAAAACTCCACAAATGTGACCCGGTAACGTCCGGTACGTGACTTCATTTTTGCAAAACGCCAGATTAGAAATACATAAAAAAACGAGATCATTTGAGTTCAAATTATTTCGTACTACCTCGGAGGAAGTTATGAAACGTGACCTCATCTCAATGTGGTTGGTAACGTTATTTTTGAAAAATCGTCGTTATTGGTCAGCAAAAACATTTATCTGCCACCGAAACCTGGAAAGTAACTGCCATACACTTGTTTTGCATACTGGTTCCTTATTTATAGGTACCATTAACGTTTTTCGTTTCTCCGCCGTTTCAAAATTGTTGATTATTTTGTCAGATATAAAATTCTGCATCTTCGATTGTTATTACCATAGTCTCCACAACTAAATATGACTGTATTCATCTAATCAGGAACGGTGCAAACACATGTTCCTACTAACTATGACATGGCGTTTACAGTTCTATCAGCATTTATATATGAATGCCATCTTTATCACATTTTTTACTAATGGTACATCGTAAAGTATCCATTCCATATAAGTGATATTAGTCATTGAGAGTCTATTCTCTGGAGGAAACACAACGTTTAATCCCACAGTTAACTTTCATTTCATGGAAACCAGCAGGTCATGTAGGCAAGGCAAACACGTTTCAGTTTCTCCAAGTCCTAGGCAAAGCAATTAATAGAAGTTATAAAAGGATCAGGGTCATCAATGAATCTGCAGAATAACTTGCGTAGGTGGTGTTTATATTTCATTACCAGGATAAGTGATGACACAACAAATCTGCATTTTATTCCCTTTCCATTATTTTTCAATCGGCGCTTTAAAATATCAACAATGCGTAATGATCTGAGTTGATATGACAGGACTTTTTCTCAAATAATTAACTGGCATACTATGCTGAAAATGTGCATTCAAGTATCAACTATAATAAATAGGTAATGAAAAGAATCTAATAATGTTTTTTTGATTAAAATGTTTGCACAAAGATCTATATTTTGTCGCGGATTTGTCTAGACATACTAGCGATGAACAGTGTCTTGAGTAATAAAAATACATTTGACTTATGTGGCTAATAGTTTGATCATGCTGCCCCTCGTGAAAAAAAAAAATATATATATATATATAAGCACACTCGTAAAATTAACTATATAACATGAAATGTTCGTGAGTATTTCCCTTCGTGGCTTGAAGCCATTTAGATTGTTTCATGGTACAAACTTTCGTGGATTCATTGTATAAACAAAGAGTAGTCAAGCATATCAATTACGTGGTTCCATAGAATGTTCATGTCATGTTATGCAGTATTTGGTATTACTCAAGACACTGTACGATATTCTCTATTAAATAATGTCTACGTGTTAATTAGGTTTCTAAAGTTATAGAAAATGATATTAACCGATACACATTGGTATAGATGCCATATTTGTCACACAATTCATTTCCTCACAGTCAAAGAGACAGCGATCACATGGCTGCAAACAAAAACAGATATGTTTGCTCAAATACGACTTGCTTTGTTAATCATTACGGTAAACGAGTTCAATAAATGGTAAGTTTACAGATTATGTTAGATTAGCATGATAACAAACATCATTCGCTAAATAAATCGTCTTTGGATTTTTGACCCAGGGATAACTGTCGTGACATATTTGTAAATTGTTCATAGTAATCAAGTAAATTTGGTCATAAATGTACTCACATATTGTGCAGAAAATGTCAAGTTTATTTAACCCTCATAACAGTTGTTATATACCGGGTATCGTTGATTTGTAAAGACTATTAAACATCAAAATAGGTAATCATGGTCTGCCTGACAATGCTTTTCTTTAACATGTTATGATTAATCTCAGATTGCACTCCATACAGTTTCTTGAGGTAATCAATTTTGGTAATGTCGACTTCCGGACTATAGCTCTTGAATATCATTCACACAGTAAAACTTTTGTTTCGACAGGGAAACTAATTTATCAATTCATTGCTAAACTTTCCTGAAGGATCCCAACACTTTACTTCTATATTAAAATTAAAGGATGCAAAGATGGATATTTCACCGACCACTGTGATAGGAGCTGTCCGTCCTCCTGTATGACAGACGTTTGTGACATGATTACAGGTTTGTGTATGGGTAAGTAAGTAAACCACAAAGGTACAAGTCAGTTTAATGCTAAAAGAATACGTGTAACCACGTGATACTGAGGAATAGTTTTAGTTAATGTAGTACAACTCACCGGAAATATCTTTATGTAACCTAGAGAAATCTAAAAACAGGCAGGCAATTTAAAATACGTACGCAGATAACCTAAAACACGACACCAATGTAAAACAGTTTAGAAACTCCGACAATAGAACGGATTTATCAGCTGTACGATATTGTAAATACGAATTTAACTTTTATATACTAAATCTTGTATCGTACTGTATATAAATCTATGACGAACTTATTGCATTTTTTTTTTATTAAGGGGCCCCCCCCCCCCCCTCCTCCCATATTTGCTTCCTTTGATTGCGACATCATTGACAATGTACCGTTATAAATTTAACGATGTACCGTAATAAATGTAACGATGTACCATAATAGATGTAACGATGTACCATAATAAATGTAACGATGTACCATAATAAATGTAACGATGTACCATAATAGATGTAACGATGTACCGTAATAAATGCAACGATGTACCGTAATAAACGTAACGATGTACCATAATAAATGTAACGATGTACCATACCAAGACATGTTCGTGTGATGTCGTGGTATTCTTCTAATGTGTAAGTATACTAGTACGGTTATACCAGGACAATTTCTAAAGGATACACATTTTAAACTTTAGTTTGATTACTAACATAGTACAGTGTAGTTGAAATGAGCAAAAGTATATGATATGGGGCGCGTCAGCGCTTCATTCGTGCTGTATGGTTTTATTTATTTTTATTTGTGTCTTTTTCTTATTATTAAAGCCCCTGCACAGCCTACACAGCCAGGCAGTTTTAATATATCTGCAGCGGGAATAGGGATCGGATCTGGGGTGGTCATTCTGGCTCTGGTGGTATTGGTCATCATATTGGTCAGACGTCTCTCAAGCAACAAAACCGACAATAGGAATTCCACACATATGACAGATTTGTCTCAGTCTGTGAGGCGAGAAGAGTTACAGAAAAACACAGGTATTACGGGCCAATTTTGTACAATCTGTAGGACAACATACTGACTAAATAAATTGTACATCAATTTAAACATGACAGAAATATACTGAAGTTTTTTTCATTTTTTTACTGTTTATTTTCATAAAATCAAACATTTGTACATAAAGACTTTTTCACTTTTTGCGGTGCTGATTTTTAGAAGCGCCAAATTATATTTGTGAACTCCTCAATAAGCCTCTCATTTGCCAAATTTTCTTGTTGATAGGAACCTTCGGAAAGAAAGAAATCAAATTATTGAGGATAAAAACAAAGATAAAATACTACTAAAGCAGTACATAATATAACTGTAGCTTGTAGAAATGGTGTTGTTTTCTCACTCTAATCGAGAAACTATTGTTTCGTATCAAAGTATCTTCTTTGCTAATCAATACAGTTCGATAATGAATTGCAACAGTACATGTTACCTAACACGAGACAGCAAAATATCAGTCGACCATCTTGACACAGTGCTCCCGATGAATCAATCATATCTTAACACTTACCAAAACCTTTGAATGAAATAGAAGATTTTGCTAATCTCAGCAATATTTCGGTCACTTCAATTTGCACTTTGACATTAATATAATTTCAGGTTTTATTTTGTGCTGAATTTACATGTTCTGTAGTTGGGGATGTGACCCATACAAATTGTCTATAGCAGTATAAACAGTCATTTGTTTTTCAAGGGACTACTTTTAAGATTTTCCCAATTCCAAGGCCATTGTCGGTTGAGTTATCTCCCGTTATATAAACAACTCACTGTGAACAAAATTGTTAGATCTACTGTTAATTATTGGTTCTTACTCTTTATTGTCATTATTATTATATCATTTGAAAGTACAGGTAAACGAATTGACTACAGCATTTCCACAGCAGTGACACGTTCTATCGTCGGACGAAACGGTATGGACGTTATCAATCTGACAAAGCTCAAACTAACAACTTTCGATGACTGATATGGATTTGCGCACAGCGATCAAAATATTGACGATATCGGGAATCAATCTGGTTGTTTCTTACATTAACAGTATGAATGGGAGGAGGTAAATTTACTTACATACATATTCAGGATTGTTTGTATTATCATGGGAAACGTCGACATGTAATCACTAGGCCTCCGTACGTCGCTCACAGAAAGAGGTCCCGACTACCAACAACCAAACCAAGAGGAATCGGAAGGATCAGAATTCTGGCATATAATATGCTTACATCATATAAACATTACAGATAAACATCCCCTTGTTAAACTGGGTGTCAATACCGTCCTATGATTTCTTGCTCCCGAATCATCGTCCATCGAATTTTAAACAGAGACAACGGGTTACATGTACATTGTTTAAAACTCGCTCTAGGTAGAGTCGCCTTGGCTATAGCCTATTCGAACAGTATACCAGTGTTTCTTCAATGTTTTTCTCAACAAGAACGGTCAAGCCGATTGAGGTGGTCATGGAAAATATGTTCACGTTAATTGGTTTAGAGAACCCCAAAATGAGGTTGTGAAATCCAGAAATCTATATAAAATACGGTTTATTGGAAAAAAGTGTATTTCTTGTATTTCAGATGGTACATACGACGAAATAGGATCCCATACCATGAAACAACCTACCGAGACGAACAGAACCGATGCAAATTATGAACAACTGAACCCTCGTGACAGAGAACCCACACATATCTATAACACTGCCTAGACCGTTGTTTAGTAAATGAGAGAACAAATGTCAACAAATAAGATTTCAATGACGACTCGAAATTTACAATTGTGACGTCATAATCCTCTGTGATTTGTCAAAGTTTGAAACTAGAATCGTTTTAAGATTAGTTTGGCCGTATCTTTATGGATGAAAAGCAAAAAGAATATCCTTTGTCATGATAGGCCAACCATGTGCATACAACGTAAGTTGTTTAATTTTGTAAAACATTCGGAAGAACTATCAGGTCTTTTGACAACTTTAACGCAAACTAAAATGACACGATAACCAATCTTATCCCCTATAGGGTAACGATACACATAATACTAGGCCGGTCGTCAATTCAAGACGAAATGTTTGTTGCATAAGAACCAAGTCTCCACATGACACTGATTCAATAATGCGTGTTTACATTGGTATTCAGTTGATATTATAGCATTCTACCGCTTTTGTATTCACCTCGATTTGGATGTTATATGTTAAAGTAGTTAATTGCCAATTAACTCTTGTAGTAGGTAGTGGATACGGCTAGTCAAAGTTCCTGTATGCTTTTATTAATCGTCACTCATAAAAGGAATAACAATCCGTTCTAGTATTTACTGAAATACTCTTGTGCATACGCATGTACTCATTTGTTAAGCTTAAAGTATATGTTTTTCCACATGACATTTGCCTCATATTTTAATCATATAAGGGATTGAACGGCTAGGGCTTCATGTTTAATATGGATGTAACCGATTTATGAAACGCCGTTCAATCCATATATTTACGTTTTACCTATAGAACAATTTTTGAGTTTATTTATTTGTTCTTAAATAACTTATTCATTTATTGCGTTTTGTTAATGCGTCGTCCTTTAAACGACATTAACAGAATAGCCCTATTTTCATCAAATTGGCGCCAATAATTAACCGTAGTCATTTGAGTGGTTGACGTAGGGGCATTCTCCATGTTAACCAAAGCGAAGCGACAAGACTTTCATTAAACAAGGTTAATCCATGACGTCATAAGTAAACCACGTGATACGTCACGAGAGTTTTTGCTTTTAGACTCGAATGAAATGCATTTCTGCTGATAATGTTCATATAGTTGGTTGCAGCGCCGGTGTATATATGTGTTTACGAACAAAATATGTAAACCCTTGATTTATATTGATTCTATTGAGAAACTTCGATATTTTGAGTCACGATAAGGACCTATCAAAACATCTAAGTACATATGTTTATGTAACATATACGTTTGGTCTCATAAGAATCCTTGTCCTTATGTTTTCGTCAGGGTGTTTGTTCTATGAATTGTAAATCGGACTGATTAATGATAAAATGTAAAGATATATGCAGTGATTTAGAGAGCTACGAAATATAAGCATCTTATTTCTTTAGTCGTTTTGTTTAGTATTGATATACTGCTATTCGCAATGATGTCCTACTTCAATACGTCACGAGTTTGGTTTTTGTACGTGTGATGCAAGGTATCATCATCACCCCCACCTCTTTACAAAGTCAAACTTTTTGTTCAGGGGGTTCAGTATAATACTGTTCTGTATAAGAACGAGCCAAGCAAATAGTAAAACGCAGATTCCCGTAGTACATCACTACTTTGTTTTAGAATAAATCTGAACACTATATAAGAAAACAGATGTTTCTCATTAAATCAAATGTTTTGATAATGGTGTTTGATTCGTATTTTATGGTACATGTATTATGAAACTATTTTGCATACTTTCGAGGCAACATTCAGAGATTCTGCATTATTTTAGATATTACACGGCATTTGATCGGTCCATCGATAAAAAATGCTTCCGTTTAATCACAACCTATTTTCTGCGAAATTTCCATTTACCTATCAGGACCAGATCGCAATTGTGACAGCTAAGACACTGACAGCTTTTAAAACGATTACAAAATGACGCAACAAGGACACACTGCCTACAAAGCTTTCATAAGCTTATCAGACCCGGATAACAGCTGCTAATGACTTCAATGACCATAAAAATGTATTTCAAAAGTTAAGGGGAGCACTGGTCAATGTATTACTAAATGGTGTGAATTACGCACTTTGTCATGCTCAAAGATAATTATGTGGCCATCTCGAAAGATGAACGTTACATACACACTGGTAATTGTATCTGCATAATTTAGAAATAGATAGAATATGTCCAAATTAAATAACACTGCATCGTAGAGCTTTATTTTAGAAGTTTTTATGAATAAGATCGGGGATAACCCTTGCCGTAATTTTAGTTCTGAATGTAAATATCGTGATAATAGTTTACTTTTAACTGGATCTTTAAAGATACAATCACCGTTAACTTCGGTAAATCTCGAAACACATTAAGTTTGTCCCCAATACATATTTCATAACAATATTAAAGAAATGAATCTGGTTACTTCAGGTGAAGTAGTATAGAAGAATGCCACATAAGTTATAGCGATCTACTTTTGTACTAGACACTCTGCCACCACAAGACGCATTTGCATACAATCTAGTTAAGTATAGAAAGTATTCCCCTTAAAAACTTATTAAAAGGATAATTTCAAATGTCAAATCACAATCGCAGTGAATTACGTTTTGTTTGTTGCACTCCCAATTCCCAATATGTAACTGCATACCAAATCCAATTACTTCAGGTGAAATAGTAAAGAAAATATGCCACTGAAAACCGTTTTTCAAAGAATAAGGTCAAGGGTCAAACCAAGTCTCAGTGACCTTTCTTGTATATGACTCTCCGCCATCACAAGATGTACTTGCATACAAAATATATTTACTTCAGGTGAAACAATAAAGAAGACATGTCCTGATAAACTAGTGTTAATGTCAAAGGTTAAATCATAGGTCACAGTGACCAACTTTTTCATATGTTGCATTCCGCAGTCCCAAGATCTAAGTGCATATCAAATCTGGTTACTTCGGGTAAAATAGTGTAGAAAATATGCAACTGACAAAGGTTTTCAAATGATAATGGCAATGGTCAAACCAAAAGTTACAGTTGCCTAGTTTTGGTCCAGAACACTCTGCCACCCCAAGATGTACTTGCATACCAAATCTAGTTACTTAAGGTACAAAAGTACAGAAGATATACCCGGGCAGACGAACGAACGAACTTAATTGGAAGAGGTTAACTTTATAGTCCAAGGCTCTGAATTTAGCCGTCTAGCATCCATCACAAAATGTACAGTTTTTATAAACGCATAAAGCAACGAAATAGCGTGCACACTTCGTCCGCACATGTGTGCAAAACTATGCGATTTAACAATCATTCGCCCCAGTGTGCGAATGATTACATGTGCGAATGATTACTCTGCTTACATGTGCATATTGATTGATCAATATTACGGAATGAAAATATCAGGAAGGCTCGTTTGAAATAAGGTACCCAGTTTTTATTAATTTCTCAGCACAATAATTAAAGATTTTGTTCAATTTTAAAATGTGTGTTACAGAAGTGTACACAATGTTACAGTGACCATTGGACTGTCAAGAATGGTTTTGCTTCCAGGTAATTGAACAAGTAAATAACATTTTGATAAGTGACCGGAGTTTTATATGGCCTGTACCTGACATAGAGAGCGGATATGTGACACAGTATGACCGTTATGAAAACACAACTGAAAGTAAAGTATTTGTTATTTGCATTTGTTTCAGTCTAAAGCTCCCCTTCACCATGATTGTCACACCTACGTCTGTCACCTTCTGGTTGAGGAAAACTACGACCCAAGTACATGTACACACTGGCTAGGTTACCTGTACAATTATGGGACCGTGACCATATGTCGTTAATTTATGTCGTTTACAAAACGTCGAAAACACTTTTATGAACATATAGAAAGAAACACAGGCTTAAAGATATAGCTGGAATAAAGAAACATATTAAAAAAAACAAGTTGACATGTTTAAACACGAAACCTTATATAAAGTTAAAGCTTATGTTTGTTGTTTACAGTGTACACGACGATGGGTACATCGGTTGCCGTGATTGCTAACGCGCACAGTTAGTACGACCTTGTGCAATCAAGCGTGAGTTGCAGACCACCCGCTCTCCAAAGAGTTTCGGTTCGATCCCGAGCGGTGGCGGAACACATAGAGCGATGTCCGATAGGGTTCCTTGTTATCCCTCCAATGGCACGGTGGTTTTTCTCCACCACGAAAACAGCATTTGTTCCCTTAGCGGCGTCTTGATAAAAGCTCCACAAAGCTTATGCTTGTTGGTGACAATTCACATGACGTTAAATATAGATTTTTTTTTTTTTATCTTTTTAAGTCGGTACTAAAATTTACACCAACCACTATTGTTTTCGCACAACGTTTGTCTATCGTGCTCACAAATGTGCGCAAGCAATCATTGGCAAGATGTTTATCGTCCACACATGATGCGAATGTTGTGCATGTATCGTGCACACATCGTGTATTTACCATGCACACATCGTGTTACGTTGTGCGATCAAACAACTACTGTTAATTTAACATGACAAATAGAGTATTGCCTTCACTCACGTGGGAAAATGTGCCGGTGTATAAAATTCGACTGGATATAAAAGAACGGCAGTTCAATGATAAGTGAGTAGTAAAACAATGGGACACAAGATGAGTCGTTTTTGTCGTAATGTTTCAAGGACCATTTCCGGGTTTCTTCCGAACGATATCAAAAATTCTTTCAATATGTTCCATATGATCAATGTAGCATACTGCAATTTCATGTTTGTCTCGGATTGTTTTTCATTGTGTAAACGTTTCTTTATTAAAGCATCGTAATTGTTGCTGAATTTGTTTTTCAAATCAATCTGCATTGTGTATTTTTGAAAAACTTTGCTTTTGGGTAATATTACGACATCACAATTTATGGGTAAATTTGGCGCTATTATGTTCTGTGTTGTGATTGTTTGCAAAATAAACATTCATCGCTTGACACATTTATTACGAGGTGGGTGCATAGATTCGACAGGGCTGTACAGGATTGAAATGTCAATATGTAATAAATACCGATGTGTAAACAGAAAAGATTCATCTATGGCTTTCAACTAGACTTGATTAATGTTCTTACTGATGCCTATGAAGACTCTTTGTCCTAGATGTCAAATTATATAACCAGCGAAATGCATAATGTACCCAGTTTGTTGTGCATTGAAAACTATTAGTGGAACTTTATAGTGATGTGAAACGTGTAGCGGGAACAAAAATAGACAAATACAATTATATACATAAACATTGACTTCAAAATTAGTTTCAAAGATTAGCTTTACTTAACGTGTTTGGCAGGACAGGTTTGGTTTAGCCAAATAATAGTGGTTTCGTTCCGAAAGGTAGTACATATTACTGAGATTCAATTTCACCTTTCGATGAGTTCGATGAAGAGCGTATAACACACATACAGACATGGACGGGTGTGTATTTTGTTCACATAATAACCTGAATAAAATTATTTGATTTTAAAAGGATACTGTGTTTACGAAAATAAAAATCAATGTCACATAGCGGGGTATACAATACAAACATTCGCAGTGGTCGACTGCTAACTCAATGCATATTTTTTTATTATTATTTCAAGGTAACTAGAAACCAAACCTATTGCGAGTGTATTTCTGTTAATAGGTCATCGTCCTTAGTGATACCAATCAACGATTTGATATCCTGCCTTATGCATCGTAATGTCACATCGACAAAAAAATGTCATATATTACGTCTGCATTCGTGATGTATCATAGAACATTAACAGTGAACAGTAGATTGCGAAATATTCCCAAACTAAACATATAAAAATGAATTTTCAGCTTTTCGAAACTGAAATGCGATGCCCGTATTTCAAAAACAACACATCAAACAAGCTTATCTTGTAACCATGTATGAGTGCATTTTCAATAGATATCAGATAATAACAGACATAATTTTTACGATAATTGGTTAAAAGTTTGTGGCAATCTAATTTCAAACGGACATCTCTAACATGAATGAATGGCCATTGTATTATACATTAACTTTCACAATCTATCTTAAGCGTGTATAACGTATATGCAAGTCGGAAGACAATGTCGGTGTCCTAGATTCAATTTACATTTTCAATAAAACACAGTCAGGTATGAAAACCGGTTTTATACTTTTCGAATGAAAAACTGCTTTGTTATTATAATTATGTTTATCCTAAGCAATCGTCAGCGCCCTAATATTTCCTGGTTGTCTGTAACGCTATTTCAGGGGCTAGCCAGCGACAGACCGCCATGACGACTACAAGAAAATTACGATGTTGGGAAATATTGCTTATCCTGTTGTCTACTGTTCTGGTATCAAGATCCGAAGGTAAGCTATTAGTCAATTTATTACCATTTTAAATGTGTGTTTTTTTTAATGTATGAAGAACATAGTTTGAAGACTGCATAGGTATATCCCCGGTTGTGAGTAATTTAACCGATGTGCTTGATATGAAAGCTTTGTGTGTATATGAATACTCCAATGCAAAGAGGGCTGTCCTTCGGTATCGTTTTGTTCATTAATAAAATGGGTTACCATGGACGGTTACAAATGAAACGATACTTAGTTAATTTCATGATCATAACTTTATTGTTCCTGTAGTTACATATCAGCCCATACGAGTATAGAGTTTACAAGTCCACGCCCTATGTTATCCAAGAACATGTTTACGTAGTAGTGTTGTCTAGAGATATGCACCCTTGTAATAAATGTACGTTTGTTCCTGATTCCCTGACTTATACACATATGGGTAGAAGGATATTGTTACTAGAAATTTGCCTGTTTCTGTGTATAATTGATTATCAACATGTATTTTACCTGTATTTTCACCTGTGGATAATTGGTGTATGTCACATTTCGTAGCCGGAAGTTGACACTGCTAAGTATGATATAATTTAACAAGTTAAGATTTAATAAAACAAAATAACAAAACAAGAATTGTGTGTACATTCTGTTGTGATTGAGACGCTGATAGGACAACTGTTTTTTTTTTTTTTTATAAACATGTTATAGTTTAAGCACATAATGAACACATTGAGTTAAAATACTAATTGAGACAACATAACAAAACTTAACCTAATTATTGCAACATTTAATGAGAAGCCTACACAACCAATTGGGAATTCGATACGTTACTGAAGGTGTGTTGTATAACAGTTAATAAATAACATTTGGTAATTATAAAAATAACAAGAAATACATTTTCATTCCTACATGTTAGAAGTATCTTATAACTATCTTAAAATACATTGACAAAATGGACGTATGAGTTCGGTTACCATGCTACTACAAGTATTTTAAAATATCCAAGTTACAATTTCCATCCTTGTGATCATGAAGCGACCAATGTCTGTGCTAAGTACTTTGACGGTAATGAGTATTACCATTATATTATTACTAACACCCCATACAGTCGCATACAAACACACACAAACACACACATACAATGTAGACATGTTAGCCCAGTATGGCAGTACACCGATCGCGAATTTATATTCAGCCCCAGATTTGATTAAGGGACAAACTATATACATGTATTTAGTTTAATTAGTTAAACTCTGTAAATATTGTCATCTCGACAAAGAAATAGAACAAAAAATAAAAAATACCTAAAAAAATACCTACCAATTGATTTGTATAGGTGCCTTTGTAACATGTTATACATTGCAAAACAGTAAAATTTCCGCTATCAACATTTTTAGACAAGGCGTAGAATCGAACTCTTGTGTGTGGAGCGTTTCGCTTTCGGTTCATCTGACCACGGCATTAGATAAGGCCGTGATCTGACCTGCATATAAGCTGTTCCGACTGCAAGCGTTTTTAGTATACAGCGAAATCTGCTTTTGTTATTAAAATTGTAGGCAATACTTTCAATATAATTAACGTTATCGTATCCATTGATTATATTTCAGTTTTGACGTGCATGTATCGCGAAAACACGTGTTACTAAATACTCACTGTACACCTAATGAACTTATAAGAAAGAATTAGACCCATACAAACTCATTTTCCTCTTTCGTGAGAAAGTGAGAATGAAAAACGTGTTAGTTTAGAATTCAATCCATATAATCAATAAATTATATCGGCTAGTTCAATACTTACTTGATATTCAGAAATAGCTAACTAGTCAACTATTAATCCAGTAGCTGAAAAAGCAGAAGTTCCTCATTGTGACGACAAGTGGCGCTGTGATCGTCTCAAATAAATACGGACCGCTCCCCAACCGCATCCGGATCACCGAACTGACACAGTGTCGTGATTTGTTTAGATGTTTTCCAAGGGTGTTTTAAGGCTTTTGTTTTTATTACTGTTATGTAAAAAAACATATGTATGACTCCTTGAGGTAATATTGATTTAGACTGGATCAGTTTCATCCCAAATGTTCCTGTCAATATATCACCTGTGCAAGTCTACATAATTAGACTTGCTCAAGCCCAGAAAATAATCACATAAACTGGATGCGCGTCTAATGTTGACAGTGAGTAGAGCTTGTCCTATGATCGTTTGTCCGTAGACTACACTTTACCCCTCCCATACTCACACATTTTATATGAAAGAAATGAAAACAAACAAGAAAAACCAATTAAAAGGAGATTGTCATTAGATAATCCGATCAAAAATTACATTTTGCAGTAAGTTAACTGTCACTACCCCACACGAAAATCGTACCCCACCACCAACCCATACAATTCTTTATCAGGTTTGTGTATGAAGTACTCTGTATGTGCATGTCTTTCATTTGCAGTTTAATTTTGTATGTTAAACGTCTGTGATAAACATTAAATCCACGTACATTCCCTGTTATAAAGACAGTTACTAGTTATGTTTACAAGACTTGTTATAAGAGTTGGAAATCAGGAAACCGCTATCGATGGCTTATGGTCGTTTTTGTACGAGTAATAATACTTTTTGATCAAAAACCTTTTAAAGCATTGAAGAGTAATCAGTGAAGAAAATGAAGATAAAATATTTTAATGATTAAATTGTACGTTTCATATTCAGTAATCGTTTCGTTTAGATGTGGAATACATAGGATTAACTACCAGCTATTTTGTAACTTTAAAAATAAAAAATAAAACTGTTCTAATCTAATCTAAAACGAACTATCCCCATTCTAACACACCTTAACAAACAAACTACGCTTACATGTTAAGAAACATTGTATTTCCTTGCTACAAGTACATAGTAAAAAACTCTGTGACCTGTGCTGGCGACGTGTCATTCTGCAGCGGACTAATCATTCGTCAACGTCTTGTTACCAAAGTTTATACGACACATTTGGATTCTTACATTTCCATGTCAGTATGCATGCCAATCTGTGCGTATCGACAAAATCGGTGATTATTTGTTCAGATTTGTGAAGAGTTTTGTGTAAATTCATACACATGTAACCAGCAACATATGTGAAATGTTTAATTTGATTTTGGATCTACAAATGTAACTAGATGCCTTCACACGGATGGAACGAAATTTTCAGTAATAAATGGAGGTACAAACAAGGAATGTCTACTTTTTAATTTATTCAACAAATTTATTTCATCGGTCCTTTCTGTTTTGTTTTCAGAGTGATTTGGCTAAGAATCGAGCTTGACGCCATATTGTTGTTTTTTTTGGGAAATGGGGCGTGGCTTAAGTGCGATTGGAGGAGCTTAACACGACTGATCATGATTCTATCGCAGATTAGAACATGGTCCGTATCCAATCAAAACACGCGTTGCGAACGAATCGTGTTAGAATACAGGCAATTGAGTTTCAGTATTAAACAAATTGTTTCGACACTCTTAACTGCAAATAATGCTTTTCTACCTTGCTCTGAATTTTGTTTATGTGTTTTTCTAAACTTCCCATTGTAATTTGACAAGACTCCCAAGTAATTAAATTAATTTGCAATTCCTAATTAAAGCCTTTATATGTCCATTTTTCAGATAACCACCATTTCTTAACACAACACAAGAACTTTTATGATGTTAATATTGACAGTAAGACTCCATTTTTCAGTAAAAGATGCTAAAGAATTTAACATTGATTATAGGCCCTCTGGCGTTTCAAAAATGATAACCGTATCGTCGGCGTACATAAGCAAACACATATTCAACATTTGTATTTCTACCGATGGACAATTGTCAATAAAATAATGCATTTAACAATAATTTACATATAAAAAAAAAATAGTAGAGGTGATCAAATTTCTCCTTGAAACAATTTATTTCCACAATTGAAGCAGTCAGATAATCAGCAATTATGTTTTATGCAATATTTCACATAACTATACAACGATCGAATTAATTTGAACAACTTCCCATCACTTCCTTACTTTATTAATTTGAACCATAAGTTGTGGCAATTGATAAAATCAAATGTCTTTGTATGATCAATAAAACAGCAATATCTTTATCTTAATGCCGTGTGGTTGTACATGTATGTATCTCTATACCGCGTAGTTGTACGTGTATGTATCTCTATACCGCGTAGTTGTACTTGTATATATATCCACGCTGCATAGTTGTACATGTATGTATCTTAATGCCGCGTGGTTACCTGTATTTATCTTAATGCAACGTGGTTGTACATGTATGTATCTCTATACCGCGTAGTTGTACATGTATGTATATTGATGCCGCGTGGTTACCTGTATTTATCTTAATGCCGCGTGGTTGTACATGTATATATCTCGACGCTGTGTAGTTGTACATGTATTTATCTCCACGCTGCGTTGTGGTACATGTATGTATCTTAATGCCGCGTGGGTATATGTATTTATATTAATGCCGCGTGGTTGTACATGTATGTATCGCTATACAGAGTCGCTGTAGTTGTATCTATATTTATCCCTATACCCCGTAGTTGTAATTGTAAATATACCGCGTATATGTCGATGATGTATTATCTTTATGTCTCGTAGGTTTACCTTTAGTATTGTACACGAATGTAGTTTATATACCACCCGTTCTGAATATGTGCAGGTCGTCTGTAACTTTATTAGATGCTTTTCTTAGATTATACACTATTAATCAGACGTCAAATTAACTGTAAAAAACATATAATTACCTCTCGACCTCACCAGTGATACAGCTTTGGTTCAATTTTTCAAACGTTTTTTCCAGTACCAATTTATCTCGTGCCGATTTAAAATTGTCACACGGAAATCCCATATGTGCACTAATTATCAAATTCTAAATCTTGTTACCTTCCATTTAAGTTCTTACATGCATGTTTTCTTACTTAACTACAATATTACATGAACACTCGTGTCAGATCCTCTATTTACTGAAACTTGGTTATTGTTCGGATAATTTAAATGATGATTTGAATTTTCCGGGCTTCTTTACACCTATTTGCTACTGTAGGCAGGACAAGTCAGGTGGAGACATAGCTGTGCTTGTTAATGATAGTATATCGGTAAAGGAGAGTAGATTTAGAAATACCCATTATTTAATGTGTAAGGATAGAACTTCATAGCAAACAAATCTGTTGTGTACGGTACATTTTATAGACCCCCAAACTTACCCGTTTCTACATGGGATCATATATTTCATTCTATAGATCTTGCATATAGTACTGGGGTCTATGATATAATAATTACAGGCGATTTTAATGTTAATTTGTTGAATCAAAACTACCCAACTATCCCAGATTATCACGGAACAAACTTGTTATACAGAATCGTCATCTTCTCTACTTGATAGCATATGCATTAGTAATACGGACATTGTTGAACATTCTTTTGTTGGTGAAAGCTTCCTTGATCCACCGATTCGTTATCATTGTCCGGTCTATGGCTGTCTTTATATCATTAAACCAATACATCCGTCCTTCTCCAGACACATACGGCTATTAGCACATGGAAACTATGCACTTTACCGTGAGAAACTTTCAGAAGCTAACTTCGGTGACATCATCAATATTAACGACGCAGATGAATCGGTTTGGAAATTCAATACAGTCTAATAAAAATAGTTAGCAAATGTATTCCCCAAAACTTATACGTAAAAGAAAATATCACAATCGTAAAGCTAAGCAGACAGGTACTGTCAGTCAATGGTCAAAATTTAGAAAAACCGGTAATAAATGTGTGAAAGCTATACGTCAGGCTAAGACTTAATATTTCAATAAACTTTACGAAAATTTGAGAAACTATCCAACGAGTGGAAAATCTTGGTGGAAAACAGTTAACAGCTTTATGTCGAATTCTGAAAAGGAAACATGTATACCTTTAGTTATTGTCGATGGTGAAATTTTGACTGATGATACTATGAAAACCAACGTTATAATGAATATTTTTGTATGCAATCTAATAATGACGAAACCGCAACTGAATTACCTACCAATCTAAATGTCACTGATTATAACTTGAACAATATGTTAATCACAATGGAAGAAATTGTGGATAGCATTCGCTGTCTAAATTGTTCAAAAGCTATTGGTCCTGATTTGATTAATCCTCGCTTATTAAAGGAAGCTGTGGATATTTTGTGCTTTCCGCTCCAAACTATATTCAATATTTCTTTATCGAAATCAATATTTCCAAGTGAATGGAAAAAAGTGAATGTTTCTCCTGTATACAAAAAGGATGATAGGACACTGTGTAAAAACTATCGACCTATATCTCTTTTATCTATAGTTGGTAAGTTAATGAAAAGATTTGTATACAAACATATCTATAATTTCATCCTTCGTCATCGATTGTTATCTTTTAGTCAGTCCGGGTTCAGACATGGAGACTCCTATAAATCAACTTCTTAGTATATCCAATGACATAGACAATGCATTGGACAACGGAAAAGAAATAAGATTGGTCTTTTGCGACATTAGTAAAGCTAATGACAGTGTTTAGCACCGTGGTCCCTTAACCAAACTACGAAGTTTTGGAATTACTGGTAAATTGTTGTCATGGTTTTCAAACTATCTTTCGGATCGTAAGCAGCGAGTTGTCATCAATAATAAGTATTCGTCTTGGTAAAAAGTACCGCTACTATTTCTAGTGTTTATTAATTATATAGCCGACAATATTCAATCAATTATTAAGTTATTTGCCGACAATACATCTGTATATGCTACAGTCGAGTTACCCACATATAGTGGTGATGTCTTGAATAGGGACGTGTTTGGTGACAACAATCTTTCATAAATTTTAAATGCTATAAATCCGTTATGACATCAGTGACATTTACATAGGTTAACGTTTTGTACCTTGGCAAATGCTATTCTTTCTTCTCTTCCTATTGCTTTTTCTCTTTCTTCTAAGCCTCTGTTATCCATTATTATTTCTGCTAAGGAAACAGATTGATATAAGTTTAATAACTTGTTTCTGGATCCTATTTCATGTTTGTAATAATTAAATGGTCTGTACATTGTAACAGCAAGTTTACGAAATAAAATACGGTTTATACTAAAACAACAATACAATACTTTCTTCTTTTTTAAAGTTCGACTAACTAGAATTGGGTGGCAAATATCGCATAGACAAACCTTTCCTAAAACCAAACCGCGCATCCGTTATTTTGTTATATTGTTTGTCGAAAACCACAAGTCTATTATTAATAATAGATGTAAAAATGTTTCCTAAACAACTAACGAGGGAAATGCCTCTGTAATTATTGACATTGTTAGTGTCACATGTTTTAAACACATGCACAATCAAATAAAAGGCAAAGATGGCCGTCCACAGCCCCCGTGTATAACCCTCGACAAAAAACAAGTTGGCGGAGCTATGCGAACGAAACACAATTACGTGACGCCATCGATAGTTTATTGAACCAGTCATACAGCAATATGATTTGAAAATCAACATATATGTTCGCTTATCAAATTAATGAGTAATATAGTTACGGGCCATGACAGAGAAATACTGTGAATACAGGGAACGGTTTCTATTTTTGTCAGGTGATGACGTGACAACCACAGTCCATACGAATAAATGTGTCTTTGATTGCTTCGCCGTCCAGTCAATTTACCTTTGCACAATGGGAGTTTTCACCTCATAGCCTGAACAAAATAGAAAATTATGCCTGAAATAACTCGTCTTCGTCAGTCTCATTGTCGCCGATGTTTGCGATGTAAATTCTTACGAATAAAAGCACACCATGTTATTAACAAAATCATTCCCATGTTTGTGTCAAATTAATAACAAGCTATGTAAATATCATCGGCATTCACGATCTCATGTCTACTATTAATTCTTACTTTAATGTGTTAATGTTACCAAATATCTGTATCAACAACAAAGTATAGAAAAGTTACTAACAATGTGGTTTATTTTCAATAAATTTGCAGTTAACGTAGCCTTATTGAAGAGAGCTGAGCAGAGCAGCAATGTTAGAGTTAACTGGGTAGCAGGTAACGTTTTGGATGGCTGTACACAGACAACTATAGGATCTGACTGCTGTACACACACAGATGGTGATGGTCAAAAACAGGCTTGGTGGCGTGTAGACTTGAGTGAGCTGATTACAATCAATAGGATCACTATATATTACAGAGGTGAGTATATTCTTTTCCGTTTATTTGATTTGGTTAAGGCCAGCTTTATTTACATATAGAGTTGTGGGATCGCACAATGTTACACGATGTTCACACGGTGTGCACAATGTGCGCATCATTGCGGACGACAACATTATTACGACGAATGTTATGCAACAACAATCGTGGTTCGTTTAAATTTAGGAATAGCTAAACGATCCAAATCGACACGTGCACAACTTTCACATATGGGCAAGCACGGTCCCTTATACAGGTGAACATGGCCATTTTGTAAGTACCTGGACCGCAGTTTTCCTCACCCGAGCACGTACGTAAATCGTCGAGGTGTGAAAATGCAGGCGACGAGCCGTCTTTAACATGGTTACCTATAGACTCCACGGTAATAGGAATATATATTGTAATACCTGTCTATAAGTGTTTGTATATAAACAATAGGAAGACAGGGACAGGTAAGAAAGTATTGATCTCGAAATATTAGTCAAAAGTAAAAAGTTGCAGACTATCATCTATTGCAGTTCTATAAAGTATATAAAGTTATGATATCAATGACCAGTCTTCTTCTTTTTTTCTTTTAGTTGACTAAATGCATTTTTACGTAAAATAATCTTTGTAGTATTGTCATGACTTGAATATTTTAAAAGTCTATTCTGATAATGTTTCTTATAAAATTGGGGACACTCTTTATGTTGAGTTAAGGAAAAGAAATCTCAACATATTTCATTGACCTACTCTGATGGTAGAGAAATATCTCATTCTTCTCTTACATGTGCAAGATAAACGTGTCCTATGTGGACACTCGTGTAAGATAACTGTCCTGCAAAATGCACTCGATGTTCGACTTCAGGAACTACATTTTCATCTAAAATTGTAATCTTGACTATGGAAATTATAAAAGCAAAATTTGGGTTCAAACTGTTCAATATCATATCAATGAAAATGAAATGTGACGTCATTATGTTTTCATTTTGGTCTGAGGAGGGATGTGTACAGCCTTAACACTGTCGGCAACTGACATCAGATCAGTTCAGGGAAATGAACAGTTACATCTATAAACCAAGCTTGCTTGAAATGTACATATAGTAATCCTACCTTCGCTGATTTAGCATATTATTCAGGTTAGATACGTTAATCTGTTGGCGTTAATCATTTGTGTTATGTCTCCGTAATTCGAACGCTTAGGAGACAGATAGTTTTCGAGGTACAATCAAAACATACAGGTGATTATACCTCACTTACCGCTAGGTGTCGCTAGGATAGCAAGACGGTATAAATAGGCAGAATCCAGCGACAATCGGCCAAGTTCTGTTCTGATCTCGGCGTGTGTACAGCAGCGACAGATCGCAAGTACCTAATATATGCAAGACCTGCTTTGTGTTGGAAAGATAGAAGTGACTGATCCACATACTGCATGGAAGATATATTAAATAAACGATTGAGTGCTGTAGCGAGATACTGTTAGACAGAAGGTGTCACGGGCATAGGCTGTGCAGTGCTAGTCGCGACCAGGCTAGTCGTGACTAGGTATAGTCGTTGCATTGGTGCTAGTCGTGACTAGGGGCAGTCGCGACCAGGCTAGACGTGACTAGGTATAGTCGTTAGAGATAGTCGTGGTCATTAGAGAGTGCCGTAGCTGTATACTAGTATAAGGCTGTCGTGATCGGGGCGATTAGGTCATATAGCTAGGTAGTTAACTATAGGGCAACTATAGTGACTAGGGCTAGCCGCGACTAGGTAGTCGAGTTGTGTACTGCCTGAATTGTACGGTAGTGTGTGTAGTGTGTTACATTGATACAAAGCAGATAGCTTTGGTATTAGTTCTATAGTCGTGCAGTAAGTATTCTGTTCATATCATGTATTAAGCATTAGGTAATAGGTATGCTGGTTACAAGGTAGTAACACATATTTGTATATATTTGCAACTTTAGTATAGTTATAATTAAGCTTACAGCACAGGGATCCTTAGAAGTGACTAGGGTACGGACCCCGGAACGTAACACTGCTTTAATTTTACATGCATTTCTTGATATATTTATTTTCCATTGCTCTTTGTACATAGGGTCTATATTCGTGGTTAAATTGTTCGCTATCAAACCGGAATAAAAAGGGACCAATCATTTTGTAGGATATGAAACTCTTTTTTCGGATGTAAAAGTTGGGCTCAGAATCAACACAAGCCACGATTCTGAACCTAATTAATTAAGTTCTTTTCCCCCCATGTCCGTAAAGCCATTGGTTGTGTAACAGATGCTACAGAAGACATGGCATTCTTATTGGACATCTTGTATACGATTAAAATACCATGTTTTGAAGCCTTAACGAAACTTAATGAATTATGTATGAACTATTTTCAACGCATGTCCGTTATTCATGTATCTTTACAATGATGAATATCGGAAGATCTATGGGAATTTCCTTGAACTAGTTAACGTATCTTCGTAACGACTTGTCAAAGGAAACACATTTCTTTGTTCTTAGATTATGATAGCCGATTTTCACAGTAACGTACGGTGTAATCTATAAATGGTAGATAGGTAGTTTAAGGGAGATTTCACCTCATTATTAGCTGGTTACCTTCCTTTGCCTTGTGGACTAACTACCTTCTACATAATTTCTTCTAACGTCGCAAACTCAACATGATTTAAATGCATTGGAGCATATTTGGAGAGGGCATATACATGCTTTGCCAATTTGCCTTCTGTTTCTTTTATTTGATATATCGATATAACAATACCACGTCATTATTCCTCGTTATAGGTGGTTTTCAACACAGATTTGCTGGGTATCAGCTCTACTTGTCTAACACCACCGATAGCCCTACACAAGGTGTCCTTTGTTATGAGGACAAGAGTAGTACTAAAGCTCAGGTACAGTTGTTGGTGACACATCAGTGCCCGTATGTAGCTCGGTATGTGACCGTCTACAACTATAGAAACAACACCAAACGCTACCCTTGGTATGATAATTATGCCATTCTCGAGTTATGTGAGGTGCAGGTATTTGGTAAGTATTTTATCTTTGATAATACATGTATCTTGAGTCCCATGTCTCATATTTCTAATTGTTTAATTACATTTCAATACAACAAAAGACAGAGGACTTATTAGCTTACATATAAACCAATATACTTTCATGTCTAAATAAATTTAATAAGCAAATGTTTACATGTACCATGGGCATTGACATTTTATCTAATTTTCTATAGTAATGATAATCAACTGACATCAGTTTTTATCATAACTGACTTTGAACATGTATGATATCTAGATTGTTGGGTCAACCAATGATTGTAGTATATGTAGTGTTTATCTTGGTTATTATAATCATACCTGACCCTGAACATGTATAATACCTAGATTAGTGGGTCAACCAATGATTGAAGTATATGTAGTGTTTATCTTGGTTATTATCATACATTGATTGTCGAGTCAACCAATGATTGTAGTATAGGTAGTGTATGTCTTTGTTATTATCATACCTGACCCTGAACATGTATAATATCTAGATTGTTGGGTCAACCAATGATTGCAGTATATGTAGTGTTTGTCTGGGTTATTATCAAACCTGACCCTGAACATGTATAATACCTAGATTGTTGGATCAAACGATAATTGTAGTATATGTAGTGTTTGTCTGGGTTATTATCATACCTGACCCTGAACATGTATAATACCTAGATTGTTTGGTCAACCAATGATTGTAGTATATGTAGTGTTTGTCTGGGGTCTTAGTGTAAATGTTATTGATGTTCTTAAATCTAATGAAATTGTTTGTGTATTTTCTTTGTGTCAGGATGTCACGTAGGGCAGTACGGTGATGGTGACTGTAACAGCAGTTGCCTCGGAAACTGTTATGGCGGTAACTGTAACTCTACAACCGGATCCTGCTTTTGTAAGTTTCTAGTACACACACACATTAAAACATCACTGAACTTATCTTTATAACATGATCGAGCTTAAAATCAAAACTACGTAATGTTGTTAGAAGTAAAATGTACTAACAATTGTTTTCCTTTACATGTCACAAATGATTCGTGCAAAACAAAAAACTTCTGAAAGAATTCTATACATATGCGTCATGTAGACCTATAAACTAAATATCATGCTTTTCGACCATAAAGGCTTCAATTTATGTGAGAGATACTGCAAGATTAAGTGAAGATACGTTTTACTATTTAAAGTTCGGCCCTACATGGAGCTCCTTTTACCATAACCGATAAATATCGAAGCCTGACAATGTTTCTAGATACGAATAAAGCCAAAATTTCTTTATTATTGCTCGTTCTGTTTTATTGGCCGCACACCTGAACATATTATTTTAAAGGAAATAAAGTCTGCGGACTGCCTCTCCTGGTAGGTTGACCGGAAGTTACCTACTACATCAAAGTAAAATATTCTTGGATTTGAAAGAAAGTCCACATTTGTTTATAGCTTTGATGAAAACAGTTCGTCTCATTGATCGTTTCATCAGATAAATTGTAGAGGGCATTTTTAAAGGTGACAAAAACATATAGACCGCGTTCAATACGCAAAAAAATATGGTTAAAGTGTTGAGACTTATTTAATAAAATTACTGTTTAGCTCATCTTGCCGATTGTCCGTCCAGGTGGCCTAGGGTAATGGTATTTTGCCAGTAGCATGCTGGGTTGAAGGACAACCAAGTTTGTTCAAATGAATGACCTTTGGCCATTTTCGAGGTCACAAGGGTCAAATATGTTAAAATATTTTCATAACTTCTCCTAAATAAATAGAAGGCCCAGGATGAGGATATTATGCTGATAACATGCTGGTTTGAAGGGCTACCAAGTTTGTTCAAAGCAATGACCTAGACTTATATTCAAGGTCACATGGGTCAATAATCTTAAAAAACTTTAAACTTTTTTATAATAACCAAAAGGCCAATGGTAATGATATTAGGCCAGTAACATGCTGACATGACGGAACACCTCATTTGTTCAAATCAAAGACCCTGACCTAATTTCAAGGTCGCATGAGTCAGATATGTTTAAAACCTTGAAAAGACTTCTCCTGAATAACCAAAAAGTTTAGGTTAATGTTATCTGGCCATTCACATGCTGTCATATAGGGCTACTAATTTTGTTCAAATAAATTAATTTGACTTATATTCAAGGTCAAAGTGGTCAAATATGTTTTAAAACTAGACTTTTAGTATTTGGCATTAAGCATGCTTTTATTGATGGCTACAATGTCTTCAAAATAAATAACATTGACCTATATTTCTAGGTCATAGGGATCACATATGTTTTAACCCTTTAAGCATATTCTTCTAAATAACCGAATGCCAAAAATGTTGATATTTTGCCAGTACCATGCTATGATGAAGGACTTTCAAGATTTTTTTCACCCTGACCCACTTTCAAAGTTAAATGTTAAATGTGTTTAAATCTTTAAACAGGTTCTTTTTTGTGATTTATAGTCATAAATACTGAAAGTCTGCCATAATTTTATTTTAGTCCACTTTTAAGGTTACAATTTGGAGATTAATACCATCTTAGCGATGCAGGCTCATTGAGCTTCTTGTTTAGAAGAGGGGGTTACGTTCTTAACACAACAATGATTAAAATCACAATAAGCATTGCTAAGCTCTGGTATCATAAACATTCTTTTCATTTCAGATTGTTTTCCGGGAAAGTATGGCGATTACTGTAACAACGATTGCTCCACGAAGTGTAAAGACAGCATGTGTGAGGACGACGGATATTGTTTTGGTATGAATAATATGTACATACGACAAAATAATGAGTTACAGTAAGTTGCATACATTCCATATGAAATGAGGTAATATATGTTTTATCAGTATAAAAGACAAACACAATGTACGAACTAAGAGGATTATTCATATCATTTACATGCATTTACATGCACTTAAAATTGTACATCTTATTGACACTATGTTTGCTAGGAACTTACTGACTGACCATGCAGCTGTACACTGTATATTTTATCAAACTTTCATTTAAATGTGAGCATATGTATATGGCACCGGTGATTTCATGAATAAGAGAACCAAATATTTGCTCATGAACTTCATTGCTAAACTCGAAATAGGATCTGGTCCAAATGTAATTAAAACAATACATAGACATATATAGTCGAAGTATATTACATTAAGATATATCCAAACACTGTAATAAGTATTGTTATATCCCATTTAAAAGCTATTTACAAAAAGATATATATCTAGACATTTCGCTCACTTTTCAAAGCCCCTCTTATATTCAGTACACTATGATATATAGTGTTCAAACGTTCAAGCTGCATAATAGGTAAGGATAAATGAAATATTGAAACGATTTGCAAAAAAAAAAGTTTGACTCGTAACCCGTCCGAGACCCTTATTCATGAAAGTGTTCTCATGCTCAAGCATAACTCAGTGTCTCTGCAATTACACCGTCGTGTCCCACAGTAAATATATTGTCTTATGTTGCAAAAGTCAACAGCACGGATAATTGCGTTTTAATCAGATGAATACCTTGTTTGCAGTGTATACGAAATACTCATATTTTTCTATTATACACAATTACGACAGGTAGTTTATACCGTAATTTATTTTTGATGAAAACCACGTGTTTATCTGATATATTGTATAATAAGCTCTAGCAATATTAACTTAACATTTCTTTGTCATTTAGAATGTTTTCCTGGAAAGTATGGTTATTACTGTAACAGCGATTGCTCCACGAATTGTAAAGACAGCATTTGTGAGAAAGACACAGGATATTGTTCTGGTATGACCAATTTTGTTTAAAATTGTTTAATAAATTGCAAAGAGATACGTCCAAGCGGAACAACCGTACTCAATATAGTACATGTAGTTGCTAATGACGGCTTTGCTAAGTTTTTTAAAGCTGCACCTGAGAGAAATGACATTTGTATAGATAGACAAAGTAAGCTCTTAAACCTATTCATTGAAATGAATGTTCAATTACTATTGATCATTGCTTTTAATATTCCCCTCAAAGAAACGTTAAAGTACAATGATTAGTTGGTGGGTAACAGTGTTGTTTTTTTTGGAAACGTAATAGTAATAATCTTTGATAACAAGGTCTTTGAGTTTTACAGAATGCAATTTTCTTTTTACAGAAACAGTGGCGGTAATAGTTTGATTTGAAAAAAACAACAATAATAAGCTAATATTCTTTGTAGGGAAGTGTATGATTTTGGATGTTATAGGCAAAAAGGAAACTTCACTTTTTGTGTAGAAACATGTTTTATTCAGAATTATCATGATCTTGACATTTTACCTTCGGCCCGAAAAGTAATTCAAGGCAGTTGCAATTGTTTTGGACGTGAAAAAATGTGGTTTATCAATAAATGTTTTCCGATATCATAGTAGCGACGGCTGTAACTTTCAAGTTTTTCACAAAATACAATAAAAAGCAAACCCTTTCACTGAAAAAGGACGTAAAAATGTTGCAGAAATAGATGAGACAGACGAACGAGTGTGATCCATATCTCCAATCTTGATGAGTTATTATCAAAATTCTGGGTTACAACTATTGATATTAATGGCATGTGTAAGGCAGTAGACATAGCCGTATTACACTGATTCATAAAATGATACATCTACCCGTCCAACTGCAAACCCAAAACATCAGTCCATGTTGTTTTTAAGTAAGATGTTTCTTGTAAACAGTTTTGAGCGTGATATTACCTCTATCTTACTTAAAAAAATAGATATGGTACTCTTACAGCCACAACTGCATTTCAATTTCTTCATGCATAATATTGTTTTGGTATTTTTTGATAAACGTAAGAGTAGGTATTGGCTTAGAAATGACATGTATTTCTTTGTATTTACCGGGTTGTATTTCCTTCTGATTGTCCGGTGGAAAAATATGGATTGTTGTGTAACAGCAGTTGTTCTGAAACCTGTCTGAATAATATTTGCAATGCCAGAAGTGGAACTTGTGAAGGTATATTGTTTTATTACAAACGTATTTCGATACGGTTTGGTTTGGATTAGTATTGTTTAACGTCCTATCAACAGCTATGGTCATTTTAGGACGGTATCCCCTATGTGAAAGATGCATGCGTGTGTGTTTTGGGAGGCTGCGATATGTTCGTGTTTGTCTCCTGGTGATAGCGCGGAACTGATGCCGTATTTATGGTGCTATCTCACTGAAACATACTGCCGCAGACACCCAGCAGGACACCCCATCCGGTCACATTACACTGACAACAGGCGAACCAGTCGTCCCATCCTTAAATTGCTGAGCGTTAGGCAGGAGTAGAAACTAACATTTTTACAGACTCTGGTATGTCTCGGCCAGGGGACAAAACCAATAGCCTTCCTCACAGGGACGAACGCTCAACTAAAGGCCAAAAGTGAGGCATTGTCAAGGGAGACATTAGGAAGTAAAAAGCTTTTTAGAAAGAAGAAAATATAGTCGCCTCTTACGATCATGCAATGGTACAATTCTTACGCCCTATCTGCAGGGACCGTATTTCGATACTCTGCATCACCTTTCCGTGTAAGAAACAAATAAAACCAATAATAGTATACGAGCCTAGAAATCCACTATTTATATATATTTAATAACCAAAAATAACAAAAAACAGTGCTACCGGTTGTTTTTTTTTGGTAGCCCAGCGGGTTAAAATGTCCGTCTAAAGTGTAGTAGTTTTCTTTAATTTGTAAGGCTTTATTCTAAACTCGTGATATTCGAAGCAGGTTCATGAATATCGGATTAAGTGCAGCATATTAACATTAGATGGAAGAAGGTAGAAACAATTTTGAAGGAAGAAGGTTCAGGAATGAACATTAAACTGTTGTGTTCTTTTGTAGTTTCGAAATCAAATACAAACAAGGCAGGTCACTATAATCATCGTTTACTGTGTTCAGAAGAATTGCATGGCAGAAAAAATAAATATGTAGCTGGTATTACGTCGTTGGAAACAAGGAATTACATGAATAGCGATTCGTTGGTTATAAGCAAGCTTAGATTTCTTCGCGAAAAAAAGTGTATGCAATAGAGCTTGAAGACATGAATAGTGGTTCATAAAATATTTCGTCTATCGACATATTAAGATACATTATCATGTTTGAACTTCATATATTTGCCCACCTTAGAAATATGTCCTAATCATTAATTGTTTGTCTGGAGTAGCCTTGTAGCTCGCCATTATGTGAAAACAACCAATTATGTGAACACATGAAAAATATATGAAATCTATGAATTACTGTGTGTTAATAACTTATCATTCAAACTAATTCTAATGTGAACCATCCACACTAACTAGATCCTCTAATTAGCCAAAATTGTTTATCGATATTTCACATATTGGTACGCTACATAGCCTTCTGTTGAATCCATAAGTATTTTGGAATTCATGCTCGAATTGATGCTAGGTGTTTCTCGATACGTTCGACTCTTAATGAATAGCACTGCACGATTTACATTAATAATACTATTTACGTGCACAGCTGGTCTATATAAGTATGGATTTACAGAACATTCCGAAGGAGGAATAATTCCTAGGTCATTTAAATCCAGCTGTTGTACCATTTTCCTGTATTTAAAAGGACGGAAATAATGGGTTTATAATAGCTGAAAGAAACATTGTTCAACATAAAAGCTGTCATGCCAGCAATTTCGATTGTGAAGGTTGATTTATTATCGTTCCCTATATTGGATCCCTGGTTGATAAAGAATCTTTCTTAATCTATTATTTATTGCCTTGTTCGAATAAAGTCATACCTTCCCTACTAACGCGCATAGTAACCACAGTAACAGATGCATAGCATACAGTTTTACGGATAATTAGATGGTCATAATTAACTCTGAATTTACATGCAAGACGTAGGTCATCTTAGAATACATATTTTCATAAAAAGGGGTAACTCCTTTGTAACACATATTAGCGGTGTATCAATGACAGAGCGTTAACGCATAAACTCCATCGTAATATTGCGTTGAACTCGCAGTGCATCGCAAACATAGATAATGTCGTTAGTGTTGTATACTTTCAGCATGTGATCCGGGTATTTATGGGAATAGCTGTAACCAGAAATGTTCCAGTAACTGTAAAGACAACACTTGTGTACAAGGGAATGGATTCTGCAAAGGTATCATTTGTTGATATTTTTATCATTATTTACATGATTCTATCAAGTTTAAAGTAACCGTAGCTATAATAAAGTGATAGTTATCAAATATCATTGTAAACAAATAAATCCGAAGTATTCAGATGGTGAAAGACCATGTTCGGATGTTTGATACATTTCATGGAGCTAATGTGCATTCAGCTTGGAACTAATTATAGATATAAACAATTAAACAGTAAACATGTCGTAAACACATTTTTTTGTAAATATCATAGAAATAAAAAGCAGATCTAATATGTTCTGACAGGCTGCGAAAACGGGTTTTTCGGTCCCGAATGCAACCCCTGTTCGACTGGCTGTGCCAATCCCACCTGCAACAAATCATTTGGAAATTGTAGTCGTACGTATGCTATGAATCCGGATATTTTTCACTTTATTATGCCTATTTTGTGTATTAATAAATATTTAGTAACTATTTCGATATGTTACTGGCATTTTCCCTAGGGCATATACTCAATAAACTGATAATACTGTGTGTATTTGAATCAAATTGGTAACTCGCATACTACTGATTATAGGATGTTTTAAAAATTGACAAAATAACCGGAGACGTTCTAACAACTCATCAGTTTTTTTGAAGGATGTAATGCAGGATTCCATGGCAACAAGTGTGATCAGAGTTGTCCTGCTAACTGTAAAGACCAACTGTGTATACAGAACTCTGGAGACTGTACAGGTACATGCAAAACAAATATTTGTTTATTCCATTTTGTTTACGTTATACTCCGTTCTACTCCATTGAATCCTTGGAATTAATAGGAATTAATATAACGGAACGGCCATACAGTGGATATTAGAAAATCATTTTGTCTGTGTTAAACTTCTATTCACGATTCTACGTTTTGACCTTTATCGTTATTGAAGTATCCTTTACGACATTGTTAAATGTGTCTATCAATCGTAAAAAAATGCTTGTTATTTTCACTTTGAAAGCATTGCCTGTTTCTTTAAAGAGGCAATATTGTTTTCACATAATAGTGAAGATACTTATTACTTATTGATGATTACCATAGCATATAAGTGACTGTTTATAGAATGTAAGCCTCGTCTGTTTGGTCATGACTGTACCCAGACCTGGTCAGTCGGCTGTCAGAACAAGTGTAACAGAAACACGGGAGAGTGTAATGGTATAATCTAGTTTTGTACTTGGTTTTATAGCCAATCGGTACCAGATATCTTATTAGAAATCATATTGAGTTTTTGGTCGAGGATCGAAATCAATAAAAAATAGTATCTGAAGCACAAAACAACGTTTTGGGTTTTAAGTGTAGTTATATAGTTATATGTGTGCATTTGAAAATCATTTGAAAATCAGCAAATAAATAGTTTCCTGTACAATTCTGCAATAAATGATCAGCTGATACATATACTGTTATGTTATTTCGAATCAGTTAGTATTTAAACCAACCTATGATTGATATGATCGGCTGATACAAAGCATCAATTCTTGTATCAAGATCAGTGTATTCGTTTACATTTTACTTTTCTTCTATAGCCTGTGAAGTTGGAAAATACGGATTAAAATGTGATCTTACTTGATCGAGTCAATGCAAGAACGGGAAATGCAAACAAATAGATGTCCACTGTGAAGGTTTGTGAAAGTAGGCACAAATTATAATTCTGTAACTCTTACAAAAAGCACGAGTATGATCACATTTTGTTTAGTTGCTTATTTGTTTAAGTTTCGTTTCCTGTTCTGTAGCAATACAAACATGATGCTGCAACTTAATGCATACACATAGAAGAATTGACTTATTGTTGTTACATTATACTTCATATACATTTTTCGGGATCATTCCCTTTCTTGTTATCATGACGTCCGTGATAGATTTTGATTGTTGACGGACAAAGTCCTCAAAACGGATTTTCAAAAGATGCAGGTTGATGTAGACTATGTACAAATTTGATGGTCGCCATCAAGATCCCGCAGGGAAATATGATAACTGTTTGTGTGAATTGAGTCACTGCCCGAGGTCTCGCTGTGAGGACGTGACATTATTTGGATTCGGCTTTACATGGCAGTTGTCGGTGATAAGCATAAGACGATTTTGAGTTCTAATTATAGTTTTGTTGCCGCTTCGGTGTTCATTTTTTTCTTTTTTTCTTTTTGTTTTTTTTTGTACTCAGCAGTGCAATCAGTATTTTTTTTTAATTAAAAATGAAAATACTTGAAGTGAAGTTGAAACAAGACCTGTCTTCAGGAGAATGAACACTGTACATGTACTGTCAAGAATTACACAAACTATACAGAACTCCGTTTTGATCTAGGGACCTTTGTGACACTATATAACATGTGATTACATGTTATCTTTAAATGTTGAAAAGATTAACTGTATTTGGTTTCAATATAGAACTAAAAACTGACTGTTGCCGGTCATTCAAATTGCAAATGAATAAGAACGGTTGTAAAACTTAAAGATGTAAACTATTAATCTTGTAATAGGTTCGATCCAGATTAATATGGTTCCTTCAAATGAAATTCCATTCTGTTCTACCAACAACCTATAACACAAATTCATATTTTTTTCTAACCGACAACACGTATTTCTTTCTTTTTACTGGGTTTGCTATATCCTTGTATTACACTAAGGTTGAACGAGTGATTCCTAGTTGAAACATTTAATTGATGTCATTTCAACAATGCATTGAGTTAACAACAACATTGCATATATGATAAGGCCAGAGTTATGAATTCGTCAAGCACAAAACTGTCCCTGGGATTAGGATCCCCTGATAGTGGCACAGTAGGGGTTAGAGATTATGAAAATTCCACACAGGTGACCCGGTAACGTCCGGTACGTGAACTACATGTTTGCAAAACTCCAGATTAGAAATACATAAATAGATCATTTGAGTTAAAAGTGTTCCGTGCTACCTCGGATGAAGTTGTTAAACATGATCTCATCTTAATGTGGTAAGTGACATCATTTTAAAAATAGTCGTTAATTGTCAGCAAAAACATTTATCTGCCCCCAAAGCCTGGTAAGTAGCTGTCATATATTTACAAAAACAATTAATGTGCAAGCTTGTTTTGCATACTGGTTCCTCATTTACGGGTACCATTAAAGTCCTTCGTTTCTCCGTTGTTTCAAAATTTGTTAATACTGTTATCAGATGTAGATTTCTGCATTCACAAGTGTTATTACATGTACAATGTACCATATTCTCCATAACTAGATATGGTAGACTATGAACATGTTAATCATTAAACGGTAAAAAAACACATGTTTCTACTAACAATGTACCTGCTGTTTTCACTTCTATCAGCATTTATGATGCTAATATAATAAATCATCCATTCCATAAAAGTGATATTATTCATTTGAAGCCTTTTCTCTGAGGGAAGCACAACGTTTTATCTCTCAGTTAACTTTCCTCTCATGGAAGCCAGCAGACCATGTAGGCAAACACTTTTAACTACTTAATCAGTGGAAACTCAAGTCAAATAATACACGTTTCAGCTTCTCCAAGTCCAAAGTGTTAGGCAAAGCAATTTGCAGAAGTAATAAAAGGATTAGGGTCATTAATAAATCTGAAGAATACCTTACGTAGGTAATGTTTATATGTCATTACCAGGATAAGTGATGAAACAACAACTCTGCATTTTATTCACTTCCCACTATTTTCGATTTGGCGCTTCAAGATATCAACAATGCGTAGTGATCTGAGTTGGTATGACGAGACTTTTTAAAAAATAGTCATATTGTGATAGTTATTTAGCATACTATGCTAAAAATAAGAATTTTAGCATCAACTATAATGTATAAGTAATAATCTAAAAAAATATTTTATTGAAATATTTTCTCAAATATCTATATTTTGTCGCGGTTTTGTCTAGACATGCTATCGATGAACAGTGTTTTAATTAATATCAAACACATTTGACTTATGTGGCTAATATTTTGATCATGCTGCGCATTCGTGAAAAAATATCAAAATATAAGCACACTTGTGAAATATACTATATAACATGAAATGTTCGTGAGTATTTTCCTGCTTGGCTTGAAGCCATTTAGATCGTTTCGTGGTACAAACTTTCGTGGATTCCCCATATAAATAAAAAAGAGTAGTCAAGCTTATCAATTAAATTCGTTGTATTTAATTTCGTAGTTCCATATAATGTTTATATACTAACGACCATATCATGTTATGCAGTATTTTGTATTACTCAAGATACTGTAAGATATTCTCTATTAAATAATGTCTAAATGTTTGATATTAACCGAGAGACATTGGTATAGATGTCATATTTGCCACACAATTCATTTCCTCACAGTCAAAGAGACAGCCATCATATGGCTGCAAACGAAACAGATATGTTTGCTCAAATACGACTCGCCTTTTTAATTAATACGGTAAACGAGTTCAATAAATGATAAGTTTATAGCTTGTGTCAGATTAACGTGACAACAAACTCCACTCGCTAAAATAAACCTTCTTTGGGTATTTGACCCAGGGGTAACTGTCGTGACATATTTGTAAATTGTTCATAGAAATCAAGTCAATTTGGTCATAAATGTACTCACAAATCGGGTAGAAAATGTCAAACTTACTCTTGAGGTAAAAAATGTTGTAAATGTCGACTTCCGGTCTATAGCTCTTGAATATTATTCACACAGTAAACCTTTTGTTGCGACAGGTAAACGAATTTATCAATTCATTACTAAACTTTCCTCAAGGATCCCAACAATTTACATTTATATTAAAATTAAAGGATGTAAAGATGGATATTTCACCGACCACTGTGATAGGAGCTGTCCGTCCTCCTGTACGACAGACGTTTGTGATTTGATTACAGGTTACTGTTTGGGTAAGTAAGTAAACCACAAAGGTACAAGTCAGTTAAATGTTAAAAGAATACGTGTAACCACGTGATACTGATGAATAGTTTGAGTTAATATAGTACAACTCACCGGCAATATCTTTATGCAACCTAGAGCTTTCGGTAATAACACATTGGTATTGTTTCACGAAGTTTTGTCATCTATATCAGAATAAAACTGCTTTTTAAACATGTGCTGTTTACAAACTGGTTAAGTTGCAAATACAAAACGACGTAACTTGTCCACTTCTGTTTAAACATAGAAAAGCACGCAGGCAATTTAAAATACGCACGCAGATAAAAAAAAACGACAACAATAAAAAACAATTTAGAAACGCCGACAATAGAACGGATTTATCAGCTGTACGATATTGTGAATATAAACGTATTTTTTTAATATTAATACTTGTATCGTACTGTATATAAAACTATGACAAACTTATTGCAGTTTTTTTTATTAAGCGGCAATCCCCCCCCCCCTCCCATATTGATTGCGACATCATTAACAATGTACCGTAATAAATGTAACGATGTACTATACAAAGACATGTTCGTGTGACGTCGTGGTATTCTTCTAATGTGTAAGTACTAGTACGTTTATACCAGGAAAATTTCTAAAGGATACACATTTTAAACTTTAGTTTGAAATGTGCAAAGGTATATGGTATGGGGCGCCTTAGTGAGTAATCATTCGTGCTGTATGCTTTTATTTTGTTTTATTTGTGTCTTTTTATTATTATTAAAGCCCCTGCACAGCCTACACAGCCAGGCAGTTTTAATATAGCCGCAGCTGGAATAGGGATCACATCAGGATTGGTTATTCTGGCTCTGGTCGTATTGGTCATCATATTGGTCAGACGTCTCTCAAGATACAAACGCGACAATATGAATTCAACTCATATGACAGATTTGTCTCAGTCTGTGAGGCGAGAAGAGTTACAGAAAAACACAGGTAATACGGACTAACTTTGTACAATCTGTAGGACAACCTACTGACTAAATAACTGAGGTACATGCAAATCAATTTAAACATTTGTCAGGAATTTTGTTTTATTTTTTCTGTCTATTTTTATTTAATAACAATTTTTATGTATAAAGATTTTTTTTCTGAAAGTAGGTTTCACTTCTTGCAGTGTTACTTTTCAGATGCGACAAATGAAATTTGTGAATTCCTCAATAGCCTCTCATTTGCAAAATTTTCTCGTTGATCCCATAACAATCTTCGGAGAGAACAAATTTATTGTCAAATACAATTGTAAAATATCAATAAACAAGTATATTACTTGTATATAGCTTGTAGAAAGGGTGTTCTTTTCTTACTCTTATCGAAAACTACATGCATGTTTCCGTATCAAAGTATTTTCTTTGCTTATAAATACACTTCGATAATGAGCTACAAATGTACATGTTACCCTACACGAGACAGCAAATTATCAGTCGACCATCCGAGTAACCGATCGAAACTTAACACTAACCAAAACCTTGGAACGAAATAGGGAAAGTTAAGGCTAATATCATTAATAAATGGCCACTTAAAATTGCACCCATAACAATTGTCCATAGCATTATGAAAAGTCAGTTGTTTTTCATGGGACTACTTTTAAGATTTTCCAAATTCCCAATTTCAAATGCCATTGTCGGTCGAGTTGTCTCCCGTTATATAAACAAACTTGCCTTGAACAAAGTTGCTAGATCTACTGTTTATTATTTTTTCTGACTTTTTATTGTCAATATTTTTGTAGCATTTGAAAATACATGTAAATAAATTTGAACGAATCCTACAGCAATGACACGCTCTATCGTCTGATGAAACGGTATGGGCGTTATCAATCTGACAAAGCTCAAACTAACAAAGTATTTCGATGTCTAATATGGATCTGCTCACAGCAATCAAAATAGTAACGATATCGGAAATCAATCTTGTTGTTTCTGACATTAAAAGTATGAATGGGAGGGAGTAACTTTACTTACATACATATTCAGGATTTTTCATTTATCATGGGGAACGCCGACATGCAATCACTAGGCCTCTGTGCGCCGCTCACAGCAAAATATCTCGACTACCAACAAACAAACCAAGAGGAATGGGGAGGGGCGGAATTCTGGCACATAATATGCTACAATCATATAAACATTACAGATAAACACCCCCTTGTCAAACTGGGTGTCAATACCGTCCTTTGATTCCGTGCTCCTGAATCATCGTCCATCGAATTTCAAACAGTGTACACCAGGTTACATGTACACTGTTTAAAACTCTCTCTAGGTATAGTCGCCTTGGCTATAGCCTATTCGAACAGTATACCAGTGTTTTTTCGATGTTTTTCGCGACAAGGTAGCTCAAGTCGGTTGAGGTGGTCATGGAACAGTTGTCACGTGAATTAGTTTAGAGAACCCAAAAACGAGGTTACGAAATCCAAATTAAATCCCCATATCAAATACGGTTTATTGAAAAAAATGTGTATTACTTGTATTTCAGAAGGCACATACGACGAAATAGGATCCCACACCATGACACAACCTACCGAGACGAACAGAACCGATGCAAATTATGAACAACTGAATGCGTTGGAGAGAGAGCCCTCACATGTTTATGAGACTGCCTAGACGGTTGTTTAACAAATTAGGGAACAAAGGTCAGCAGATTATAAATTGCGACTCAAATTGTATGCCCATCAGTCTAGAAATAAATCCTAACAAATAGGACAGAGAAGCTACACATTCCGATTATATATTAGTGCACAAATCACCATCTTTATCAAAAATTTGACTGCACATTAAATGTTATGTCACAATTCTTAATGGCGTTTAACCTGGGCCTGTATTCATGAAACCGTTCTCATGCTTAAGCATGGATTTTTGCCCACAGGCTTAATTTCTTGTTCTTGTTATAACTTAATAAATAAGTCTTGTTTGTCAATGATTTGGACAAAAATTGCAGACACGTTTACATTTCATCTTTTTAGCGTTTGACATGATCTAAGCGAGTAACAAAAAGTTGGTTTGAGCACAGAATCCATGCTTGAGCGTAAGAACGGTTTCTTAAATACGAGCTCTGATGTTTTCATGTTTTATGTATGAAAAGGAAAATTAATACCGTTTGTCGTGATAGATCAACCAGTGCATATCACGCACTTTCACGATCACTAATAATGTTTTGTTAATCTTTTACCCAATTTTACTGATAGTGAATCATTCAAATACTATTTTACTGGGACGGAGTTTGGTAATCCGTCTACGGTTTTTATTTAGGGATCGCATAGGGATGCATAGCCACAATTAGCTTTATTCAATTGCTATTTAGAATTTGTAAGCAAGCAAATATTACAGAATGTAATGAGTTTTTATATTTGTTATATATAGGACCTTAAATGAGTTTTTTCATTTCATATGAGAATTTATGAAACGAGTCTAAGGAGTTTTTATTTTTGCAGCAAAAATTAAAACTTCGAGACGAGTTTAAGATACATGTACTTTTTATCACATAACTCAAAAAACTTACATTTTGACAGGTTTTAAAGCCAAAATGTAGAGGGCTAATTTAAACAGAGATTGCCAATGTGTTGCGCCATTCACATTCGATACAAATTTAAGATACTTTTTATCACATAACTCAGAAAACTTACATTTTGACAGGTTTTAAAGCCAAAATGTAGAGGGCTTAATCAAAATGAGACAGCCATTTTGTTGCGCCATTCACAATTTATGACGTCATGTCATTGTCCATATTATGACGTCACAATCGATTTCTGACTGGCACAGCCAATGCAAAATGCTCAATGGTATATTAATAAATATTACATTGGCGAGTTCACTGGATAACAGGCCGAATATGTGATAAAGCATTATTAGTTAACGACATATACATAGTTGTTGTTCATCTGTGATATTTCTAGTCATTTTATCTGTTGATTATACATTATATATATATGACCATACCTGTATATCGGGTGCACATTGTTTACATTCGCGCGCATTGTGCGTGTGTACTGTTTTAGCTTTTTAAGATAACATATTGTCAACAAATATTGTTAGCCTAATATTACCTATAAACAATTAATTGCCAATTTTCTAATCGAATTGGTCATATAGATAAAAGACACAGAGTTAAGGTGTACACGTCACGGTTGAGTGGACTTAGCCCGTAGATTACCCTAAATATTAAGGCTGTGTGTGGCGTGCTTTTACATTTTGTCAAAACAGGATCTTCTTAGTAAATTGGTAAAAAATAGCGTATTGATATGTCTTACAGTTATTGTCATTGTATATACATATGGGAAGTAAGAATACTTTACATATATGTTACCTTTTAATGACAGTCAGCATAGCTATAAGAAGTTAGTCTGTCGTGCATATATTGTGGCTCCAACCATGTGACAATGATGTTAGTTATAAATCATGTGAGGGCTGCAACAACCACTACCTTAGTTGGTATATATCTTTTATGGTAACAGTCCTGTGTGGACTACATGTTTAGGTTCTGTGTGAACCGAGTGATGTGTGCTGTATAGTCACCGAGGTAGTGAATACTTTCTACAGATGGACCATGTTCTGTGATGACACGTAATGCCATTTGGTCTGTGCTGTTCATTATACTTCATGTGAAGTTTGGTGAGTCCATCAACACAGGAGTTTAGTCAAGGCCGTCATGAAGGGAGACGGGACCAGGACTACAGATGGTGGACGAGCTTTTTAGTGATCACTGTATCAGGGCAGTTATTTTCATATATTGACTGATACATTGACTTTTCCAGTATTGACGTATAGTTTACTTGTGTGATTATAGCATTAGTTACATACTTGCTTTGTATGATTCTATTGTTGCTGTATATACATACTTCGTGTGAGAGTGGGGTAGCAATGATTTATATTATTTAGAAAATAACAAAATATAGTGTATAGTTTATAAATTAAATCTTGTTTATAACGTAATCCAGTCTTAGTGCCATTTTACATTACAGTTACACGGAGGTCGTTTAATTATGTAAAATACAATCAGAAAAACTATCATGTCTTTTGACAATTCTAACTCAAACTAAAATGACATGATAACCAATCGTATCCTCTATAGTGTGACGATACACATACTACCGGGTCGCTGGTCAAGTCAAGACGAAACGTTTGTTGCACATGAATAAAGTCTCTAGATGACACTGATTACACTGGTATCCAGTTTATATTTTATCATTTTTTTCTAATTATATCATATGATAATCAAATCTAACGCATTTTTATTCACCTCGTTTTAGATGGTATATGTTACAGTGGTTAATTGCCGATAATATCTTGTAGTAGGTAATGATAACGGTTAGTCAAAGATCCTGTATACTTGTATTAATCGTCACTCTTATAAAGAATAACAATCCATTCTAGTTTTTACTGAAATAATTTTGTGCATACGCATGTTATCATTTGTTCAGCTCAAAGTATATGCTTTTCCACATGACATTTACCTTATATCTTAATCATATGCTTATCAACAAAATATGTAAATCCTTGATTTGTATTAATTCTATTGAGAAACTTCTATATATTTTGAGTCACGCGGAAGGCCAATCAAAACATCTAAGTATATGCAGATGTAACTTACACGTTTAGTCTCATAATAATCATTGTCGTTATGCTTTCGTCAGAGTGTTCGTTCTGTGAATTGTAAATCGGACTGATAAAAGATAAAACGTAAATATACATGCATTGATTTAGAGAGCTACCTTATTGCTGTAGTTGTGTTGTAAAGTATATGTATTGATATACTGCTATTCCTCGCAATAATGCCCTACATGTACTTCAATACATCACGATTTTGGTTTTGTACATGTGACTCAAGGTATCGTCAACCCTTTACATAATACTAATATATAATGATAGACATTCTTTATTGAGGATAAATAAGTGTTTATCCATGGGCTAATATCCCACATGGTCCTCTTTACAGCGTCAAACTATTTTTGCAGGGGGTTTCAGTATAACACTGTTCTGTTTAAGAACAAGCCACGAAAATAATAAAACGCAGATCTCCGTAGTACATTACTTCTTTGTTTCAGAATAAATCGGAACATTAATTAAGAAAACAGGTGTTTCTCAATAAATCAAATGTTTTGTAAATAGTGTTTGATTCGTATTTAATGATACATATGTTGTGAAACTATATTGCATACTACCAAGACAATATTTAGAGATTCTGCATCAATTTAGATATAACACGGCATCTTATTGGTCCATCGATAAAAAACGCTTCCGTATAACCACGACATATTATCTGCGAAATTTCAATAAACCTATCAGGACCAGAATGCAATTGTGACGTCGATGACACTGACAGGTTATAAAACAATTAGTAATGACGTATCAACGATATCATTTGTTTAGCTCAAATTTCAGCCTGCAACGTTTGTATAAGCCTATCAGACCCGGATAACAGCTGCTAATGACTTCAATGACCACTGCATGCCATACAAATGAATTTCTACGGTTAACGGGAGTACTGGTCAATATCAAATATATTAATAAATTGTATATATTATTCACTTTTTCAGAACACATAGAGAATTATGTGGCCGTCAATGCTATGTTAAACATTTGGGATTTAAAATAAACCAGCAGAGTTGACCACCTTGTATCTCGAAATATGTACGTAGCATACACACTGGTATTTATATCTTTATAATCTAGAAAAAAGATAGAATATGTCAAAATTAAATTACACTGCAGCATAGAGCTGTAATGTAGACACTTTTACAAATTAGAATGGGGATAACCCTTGCCGAAATTTTAGTTCTGAATGTAAATATCGTGATACTATTATACTTTTAACTGGCTCTCTAACTAAACAATCACGGTTAACTTCGGTAAATCTCGAAACACATTAATTTTGTCCCAAATACATATTTCATAACAATATTAAAGAAATGAATATGGTTACTGCAGGTGAAGTAGTATAGAAGAATGCCACAAACTACTTTTTTCAAAGGTTAAATTCAAAGACTAACCCATAAGTTATAGCGATCTACTTTTGAACTAGACACTCTGCCACCACATGATGCATTTGCATACAATCTAGTTAATCCAGATGAAACAGTATAGAAAGCATTCCCCTCAAAAACTTTTTAAAATGATAATTTCAAAGGTCAAATCACAATCACAGTGACCTACTTTTTATTTGTTGCATTCTCCAATCCCAATATATAGTTTCATACCGAATCTGATTACTTTAGGTGAAATAGTGAAGAAAATATGTCACTGACAAATGTTTTTCAAAGATTAAGGTCAAAGGTCAAAACAAGTCACTGTGATTTGCTTTTGTATTTGACACTCCGCCATCACAAGAAGTACTTGCATACAAAATATATTTATTTCAGGTGAAACAGTAAAGTAGGTATGCCCTGATTAACTAGGGATACTGTCAAAGGTCAAATCATAGGTGACAGTGACCAACTTTTTCATATGTTGCACTCCGCAGTCCCAAGATCTAGTTGCATCTCAAATCTGGTTACTTCAGGTAAAATAGTATAGAAAGTATGCCCCTGACAAAGGTTATCAAAGGATAATGTAAATGGTCAAACCATAAGTCGCAGTTGTCTACTCTTGATACAGAACACTCTGCCACCCCAAGATGTACTTGCATACCCAAGCTGGTTACTCAAGTTGCAATAGTCCAAGGCTCTGAATTTAGCCGTCTACCATCTATTATAAAATGTACAGTTTTTTATAAACTCATAAAACAACGAAATAGCGTGCACTCTTCGTCCGTACATAAGACAAAACTGTGCGATTTAACAAGCATTCGCCCCATTGTGGGCTTCTCTCTGCATACATATACATATTGATTGATCAATATTACGGGATGAAAAAATTCCGTAAGGCTCGTTTGAATTAAGGTACCCAGTTTATATTAATTTTTCATCACAATAATTGAAGATTATGGTCAATTTTACAATGTGTGTTACAGACGTGTACACAGTATTACAGTGTCCGTTGGACTGTTAAGAATGGTTTTGCTTCCAGGTAATGGAACAGGTAAATAACATGTTGATAAGTGACCGGAGTTTTACCTGGCCTGTACCTGACACAGGGAGTTTTACATTTATCGTTAATTTGGGTCGTTTACAAAACGCTGAAAACTCTTTTATGAACATATACGAAGAAATACGGGCTTAAAGATAAAGCTTATGTGTGTTGTTAACGATGTACACGACGATGGGTGCCTCGGTAGCCGTGATTGCTAACGCGAACAATCATCACTACTGTGTACCATCAAGCGTGAGCTTCAGACCACTCACTCTCCCCAGAATTTCGGTTCGATCACCAGAGGTGGCGGAAAGGAGAGTTATGTCTGACTGGGCTAGTTGTATTGAAAACAACATTTGTTCCCTTAGCGGCGTCGTAATAAAAGTTCTACAACACTTATGTTTGTTGGTGACAATGCACATGGATTAAATAAAGATTAGTTTTGTATTTATTTAAGTCGGTCCAAAATTTACACCAACCACGATTGTTATCGCACAACGTTTGTCCATCGTGTTCACAAATGTGCACAAGATAATTGGCAAAATTTGTACCGTCCACACATGATGCACACATCGTGCATGTATCGTGCACGCATTATGCATTTACTGTGCGCACATCGTGACACACCGCATATCGTGTTACGTTGTATTGCCTTCCCTGACGTGGGGAAAAGTGTCGGTGTATAATTTTCTACTGGATATAAAAGAACGGCAGTTCAATGATAAGTGAGTGATTAAATACTGGGACACAATTTGAGTTGTTTGTTGTCGTAGTGTTTCAACGACCGTTTCCGGATTCCTTCCGAAACGATACCAAAATTACTTTCAATAGGTTGTATACGATGAATGTAGCATAATGCCATACATGTTTGTTGTGGAATTTTTTTCATTGTGTAAAGGTTTCTATATTTAAGCATCGTAATTGTTGCTGGAATTTGTTTTTTCAAATAAATCTGCATTGTTAATTGTTAATACAGTTTGCTTGTGGGCTAAATTATGACATCACAAGTTATGGGTAAATGTGGCGCCATTTTGTTCTGTTTTGTGATTGTTTGCAAAAGCAACGCTTGACAAGTTTATGACGAGGTGGGTGTATATGAGTGCCAGTCAAAACTTTCTCTATGTTTAACGGGGCTGTACAGGATTCGTTTATGGCTTTTAACGAAATTTGATCAATGTTCTACCTGATGCATTTGTAGACTTTTAGTCCTGGGTGACAAATTATATAACCAGCGAAATGCATAATGTTCTCAGCTCGGTGTACATTTAAAATTATTAATGGAACTATACATTGTGGTGAAACGTGAAGAGGAAAAAAAATACAATTATGTGCATTAACATTGACTTCAAAATAAGTTTTAAAGATTAGTTTTACTAAACGTGTTTGGCAGTACAGGTTTGATTTAGTCAAATAATAGTGGTTTCGTTCCGAAAGGTAGTGCATATTACTGAGATTCAATTTCACCTTTCAGAGTTCGATGAGAGCGTATTATAGACATGAACGGGCGTGTATTCTGCTCACAGTATAACCTGAATAAAATGATTTGATTTTAAAAGGATAATGAGTTTCCAAAAATAATAATCAATGTCTCATAGCGGGGTATACAATACAAATATTTGCATGCGGTGGTCGACTGCCAACCCAATGCATATTTTTTTTTATTATTGTTTAAAGGTAACTAGAAAGCAAAACCTATTGCGAGTGTAAATCTATCGAAAGGTCAACTACCTAAGTGATACCAATCAACGATTTTATATACTGTCTTTGTGATAAAATACCTCTTTATGCATCGTAATGTCACATCTACAATGTCATATATTACGTCAACATTCATGATGTATCATAGAACATTAACAGTGAACGGTAGATTGCGAAATATTCCCAAACTGATCATGTTATAATGAACATATTATTTTAATCTTACAGCTTTTCAAAAATGAAATCTGATGCCCGTATTTCAAATACAACACATCAAACAAGCTTATCCTGTAACCATGTATGAGTGCATTTTCAATAGATATCAGATACTTACAAACATATTTTTTTACGATAATTGGTTAATAGTTTGTGGCAATCTAATTTCAAATGGACATCTCAAACATATATAAATGGCCATTGTATTATACACTAACTTTCACAATCTATCTTAAGCGTGTATAACGTACATGGTAGTCGGGGGACAATGTCGGTGTCCTAGATTTAATTTACATTTTCAATAAAACACAGTCAGGTATGAAAACCGGTTTTATACTTTTCGAATGAAAAGCTGTTTTGTTATAATAATTATGTTCATACTAGCCAATCGACAGCGCCCTAATACTTCCTGGTTGCCTGTAACGCTATTTCAGGGGCTAACCAGCAACAGACCGCCATGACGACTACAAGAAAAGTACGATGCTGGGAGATATTGCTTCTCCTGTTGTCTACTGTTTCAATATCAAGATCCGAAGGTAAGCTTTTAGTCAATTTATTACCATTTTAAATGTGTTTTTATTTTAATGTACGAAGAACATAGTTTGAAGACTGCATAGGTATATCGCCGGTTGTGAGTAATTTAACCGATATGCCTGATATGAAAGCTTTGTGTGTATTATGAATACTTCAATGCAAAGAGGGCTGTCCTTCGGTATTGTTTTGTTCATTAATAAAATGTGTTACCATGGACGGTTACAAATGAAACGATACTAAGTTAATTTCATGATCATAACTTCCTTGTTCCTGTAGCTACATCTCAGCCCATACGAGTATAGAGTTTACAAGTCCACGCCCTATGTTCTCCAATAACATGTTTACGTAGTAGCATTGTCTGGAGATATGCACCTTTGTAATAATTGTACGCTTGTTCTCGATTCCCTTACCTATACAAATATGGGTAGAAGGATATTGTTACTAGAGAGTTGCCTGTTTTTGTGTATAATTGATTATCAACATGTATTTTACCTGTATTTTCACCTGTGGATAATTGGTGTATGTCACATTTCGTAGCCGGAAGTTGACACTGCTTAGTATGATATCATTTAACAAGTTAAGATTTAATAAAAAACAAAATAACAAACAAGAATTGTGTGTACATTCTGTTGTAATTAAGACGTTGATAGGACAACTAATATTTTTTTATATCAACATGTTATAGTTTAAGCACATAATGAACACATTGAGTTAAAATACTAATTGAGACAACATAACAAAACTTAACCTAATTATTGCAACATTTAATGAGAAGCCTATACAATCAAGTGGGAATTCGATACGTTACTGAAGGTGTGTTGTATAACAGTTAATAAATAACATTTGGTAATTATAAAAATAACAAGAAATACAATTTCATTCCTAGATGTTAGAAGTATCTTATAAATATCTTAAAAATACATTGACAAAATGGACGTATGAGTTCGGTTACCATGCTACTACAAAGTATTTTAAAATAACTAAGCTATCATTTCCATCCTTGTGATCATGAAGCGACCAAAGTCTGTGCTAAGTACTTTGACAGTAATGAGTATTATCATTATTACGAACAATCATTACAGTCGCATACAAACACGCACAAACACACACATCCAACATGTTAGTCCAGTATGGCAGTACACCGATCCCGAATGCATATTCAGCCCCAGATTTGATGAAGGGACAAACTATATACATGTATGTAGTTTGATATGTTAAACTCTGTAACTATTGTCATCTCGACAAAGAAATAGTACAAAAAATAAAAAATAAATACCTAAAAAAATAGCTACCAATTGATTTTTATAGGTGCCATTGTAACATGTTGTACATTGCAAAACAGTAAAATTTCCGCTATCAGAATTTTTAGACAAGGCGTAGAATCGAACTCTTGTGTGTGGAGCGTTTCGCTTTCGGTTAATCTGACCACGGCATTAGATAAGGCCGTAGTCTGAATTGCATATAAGCTGGTCCGACTGCAAGAGTTTTTAGTATACAGCAAAATCTGCTTTTGTTATTAATATTATTCGCAATAATTTCAATATAGTTGACGTTATCGTATCCATTGATTATATTTGAATTCTGACGTGCATGTATCCCGAAAACACGTATTACTAAATACTCACTGTACACCTAATAAGTACCGATGAGCGTCCACAACCGACGCAGGTATACTGGCCAGCATGTAACTACACACCTGCTACCGTTTAAGAAAGAATTAGACCAATACAAACTCATTTTCCTCTTTCGTGAGAAAGTGAGAATGAAAAACGTGTTAGTTTAGAATTCAATCCATATAATCAATAAATTCTACCGGTTGATTTGATGCTGCTGTTTTGTTTGTAAAAATGAAAGTTCAATACTGACTTGATATTCAGAAATAGCTAGCTAGTCAACTAATTAAATACTTTTATTTTTATTACTGTTATGTAAAAAAACATATGTATGACTCCTTGAGGTAATATTGATTTAGACTGAATCAGTTTCATCCCAAATGTTCCTGTCAATATGTCACCTGTGCAAGTCTACATTATTAGACTTGTTCAAGCCAAGAAAATAATCGCATAAACTAGATGCGCGTCTAATGTTGACAGAGAGTAGAGCTTGTCATATGATCGTTTCCCCGTAGACTACACTTTTCCCCTCCCATACTCACACATTTTATATGAAATAAATGAAAAAAACAAGAAAAACCAATTAAAAGGAGATTGTCATTAGATTATCCGATCAAAGGTTAAATTTAGCAGTAAGTTAACTGTCACTACCCCACACGAAAATCTTACCCCACCACCATCCCATACAATTCGTTATCAGACTTGTATATGAAGTACTCTGTATGTGCATGTCTTTCAAAACAAAGCCCACATATAAAATGTTAGAATATGTTTTACGTGAAAATATATACATTTTTCCTGAAGTCAAGACCTGGAGAAGAGTTGGAAGTGGCGTTTGGGACAAAATTATTGTATTTATTTCTATACCAAAAAGAGTTTAGAATAAAAGTATTTATTTGAAGTAGAAACCATACATACTTTCAACCCTAACAAAAACATGCTGTCATCAATATCCTCTGCTCCACAGACATGACTGTAGAAGATTTCCAAGTACAAATGCAGTATACTATACAACTGTAAATAGTTCAGGGTATATATTCCATAGGGGAACATTCCAACCACTTACATACATTTTCTAAATCTGTAAAATAATGACACATATATTTAGTATGCAACATTAAACATATTTTTAAAGTTATTATGTATGCAGCTTTTACAGTTATATTTAGAAGGAGAGCACTGATGTGTTTAATAAAATTTCAGATTAAGCATCCTCATTATGCATGCATGCGTTCAGTATAGCAACCCTGCCTGTATCACTAATTAAAGTATTATCCATGTTATGGTTTTTGTTACTGTGATACAAACCTAATAAACTTTTCTCAATGTGATGTTCTAGTACAATGTATGAGGGAATCACCCAAGTCTGAAATTTAGGACAAATTCCGCATCTGCAACACAGGTTTATTAGAGTTTCCCTATAGCTGCATCATTGATGTCATCACTATGCATGTATTACATAGAGTTACTGAGACATGGACCTGATATTTTCCTTAATGCGAATAGATGGACAGAACAAATCCGTTTCTACATCCTGTGAAACTTTGTTGAGCAGGGCATAGGACATATTTCTTATTAGGAAAACAAACAAAGGTTAGGAGCCCTAGAAAAAAAATCTGAGAAAGAAATAAAACAAGTTACTCCACAGCGTTAAGATATCTACAACAGTGTTCATTTAAGCTGTCACCGGGTATTGCTGCTAACAAAGATGACAATATTTTTTGCCAATACCAATGTGTCAATGTATGTCTCAGTAAATGTTGTTTACATTTCACCAACACTTTTCAGTCTGTGATCTCTTTTCCTTTTTAGCATTATTGTAAATAATTTATGTTTAGCATATACTTTTTTTAGTAAACACTAGGTGTAATGAGTACTTCAATTCACAAACGAAAGAATGATATTTGATTTTAAGATAGATTCTTTGAAAGACAAGATAACTGTTAAGCCAAAATGAATCTCTCGTGAAATATTAGTTATTCACATTACTTCATTCCTCAACAACCCTTTCATCAATGTCATTATCGTCAACAACTTCCGGAATCTTACTAGCATCCGCAATACATCTTCCCCTATCTCTGACTCCATATGACAGGTTATCACAGTGTTGGGCATATCCAAAGGACCAAAAGCATTGCCAAAATATTAATTATGGACGTTTTTTTTTTGTTTTTTTTTTTTTACAAATAAAGCATTAATTAAGCGTGCGTCTTGACTGTGCTACCTATTGTAAGAGATACGGAAAGTTGATTTGCCGCAGTACTTGTGTCAACATGTATTTAAATAACGCTTTCATATTTGACGACCAGTAAATATGCTCTGCCTGTATATATGTGCACGTCTTTATTCAACTTCCGCGATTCATTTGGTTTTGTCCGCTTACCGCATAAAACAAATGGAAATTAATACTTACATATATGGATTATTGATATAACGTACATAATTATTATCTTTTAAAATAAATAATTGCACTGGTCTCATAATAAGATATCGTACTTGCATGATTGTAATAAACAATTATTCCAACTTGTTAACTGTCTATTCACGACTATTATGATAAACTTAAGTTACAATCTGATCGCTTGTTCAGAAGTTGAAGCTCGAGTAAAACAATATTTACCTCTGTGAAAAAAAGACTCATGTTCCACTATAACAATTAAAAAGACCATATACACACCTACTTTGCTTCAGGTAGACACCTCAATAGATAATGTAAGGTAAAGTTATACCCTGTATATAAACACACTCCCTGCATAAGTAATTATGGATTATGTTTATATGATGCACATAGCATACATGTGTATACATTCTGTATCGTGTACGTTGTTGATTAGGAGTCAATACACGATAGATAATAGAGATTATCTTTCTGGGTAACTTATGCTATGAAGTTGTATATAGGGGAAGCCCATATCCAATAAATGTTGACTTTATGATGCATTTTCAATAGTACAAGAACATTCTGCAGTATAATCAACAATTTTGAGCAAGTAGATGATATATATATTTGGAAACAATCTCAGGAGATGGTTCATTTACATAGCTTATGATAGAAATAGTATGCATAATATACAATTTATTAAGATAGTATTATGTATACACAGTATATAATAAAGGTGGCATATAGAATATTTGAAAGTGATATGTTTTATACTCTGCATACCACTCTTTATATACTCTTTATACCGTTTGTATATACCCTGTTCACCACTCTGTTTATAATTTGTATACCACTCTTTATATACTCTGTATACAACTCTTTATATACTCTGTATGCGCCTCTTTATATACTCTGCATACCACTCTTCATATACTCTGCATACTACTTTGTACAAAGAAAACTGCACTTTTTCTATACTCTGTTTACTAATATGCATATACACTGTACA